GTGCAATTATTCGTGCCTAGAAGATATCTTTGAAGTATAAACGAAGAATCGAAAGTGCTCGGTCATTTTGAATCCTAGCAGTAAAGCCTGTCGTTGGTGCTGCGCCACTTGTGAAGTGGAGAGCTCCTGGCCAGTCAAAACGCCTTCACTTCTGTGCATATGCAACACGGACATCCACGGAGGCCGAATAGTTGTATCTAGAAGTTAAAATGTTTGCAAAGTGTTCTTCGCAGTGGAACTTACAATCAGTCCAGTGGACTGAGTTCATAAAAAACCGGAATCGACGATGAGGCCAAACCTAGAGTATGCCCACCTGGAAAATGGGATCGGTCCAAAATTTGAACCAATTTTTGAAGCCGTAAATGGATTTCATTGGTCTCAAAAATATCGGGATGTGATTTTTATGATTTCAACAGGAGCGGAGCCGGGGGCGAATGGCTGCGCAAAGCATCAAAAAGAAAACCGGAATTCAGCGCATGCGTAAAACAAAACCCTTCTTATTTTTTTATTTTTTTTTTCATTTTCTTATTTTTACATCGAGGAATTTAAAAGGCTTGAATTTTTAGGAAATCCTCAAACGCATCGCTACACTCGGAGCAAAGATTTTTCGCTCAGACATCCATGGGTTCAGTTTTTCAAAACTTCATTTTTGGAGTTACTGGTCTCTTCAATAACACTTGCAAAAAGGTATACAAGCTTCCACGAATAACAAATGCGATTACTATGGACGCATATTGATTATGCAAAAAAAAAGTCTCCAATGCAGATTCAAAAGACGGTGTGTCTATTTAAGGGTTGGATTGGATTTTGAGATTAGAGTTTGGAGGTTCATTTGTCCGGAATTTGATGCTAAAAGTTGGCCATAAATGGGGGACTAAGCTGTAAAGTGATATGACTTGCCCTGGAGCGGTTGAGATGTGCAAGGCTTGTGTTAAACGACGGGACTCCAAAAAAGAATTCCATTACGCAAGAGAAATCAGCCTGTTTTGCAGGGACGTTAAAAACCTCGACTGTTTTTGAGACTTTCAAAGGAGACTGAGATTTTGCCATTGTGGTTCCGTTAAAATGTATCCATAACAACATCATGTGATAGTTCCTTGAAGACAAAACATCTAGAGACTAATCAGGCAGTAATGTATCTTGATACCTTTGGAGACTTCAACGCTAGGATAGAAAAGTAAGCGAATAGAATTCTCTATTAAATTTCGTTGGAAATATTCGATTGAGCATCGATATTGTCAAGGCGCAATAATAACGTTTTGTTGTCCAGCTAATCCAGTCATCAAAAGCAAAATATGGTGGACCCCCTCCCCCCCCCCCACCTCCCCGATGGCTATCCACGTGTGAAAACGAGTGAGATAAAAATCAATTTTTAGGGTGAGAAATTAATTTAGCTAACGACGCAGTGATCTCCGCTTTAAAAGTGGACTTATTGTTAGACACTTTCCTCTCCCCCTCATCCGCCAAAGTTTTGCCTGTGATGGCTAATTAAAGTCGCTCCGGTGACTTTTATTAGCCGTCACAGGTCAAAAGTCGCGGTGGCGACTTTTATTCACCATTTTATTTATGTGTCTTTCTTTAACTGAGAGGAAGAGAGATATTACACGATCAGATTAAAGTCCACGAGTATCAAAGGGATTTATAAAATTTTTTTAAGAGGATATCTTCAAAATATAACGCGGACGGATTTTTAGGTATTTTAGTATTTTCAGATGTTCCGAGAATATTATTTTTGTCACACCGAACTATTCTAAAAATATCAAAGAATATTTCTTAAGATATACTCAGAATATCCTAATTGTTCATTGGTGAGACATTGCGACGTTGCAGACTTGCCATCGTACTGGTACTTCATTTTTTTATCCTAAAATTGATCGGCACCATCTCTTGAAAATGTCCGTTATTTTTCCTTTTCGTCTGAAAAATGTTGTGTGGGCATTTCTCACCAAGAGGTTGGCTCGTTTCCACTGAGATGGGAGAAATAGAAGCAGACGTTTGAACGGCGCAATAGAGATACGTGATTTCTGCATTGAAGCATCGCCATGCCTTTCAAAAAGTGCTATATCTCATTGTTCGTCTCGATTTAGGCGAGTGTAAAAATATCGATTTGTCATGCAAAGCGTACTTATATCATTGACTCTGTTTTTTCACAATCAACAAGTGATTATAGGACTGGGAGCTTCGTTCTTTAATAGGCGCCAAATGACAGCGTCTACAGTCTCAACTGCGGGCAGGGCCGGATTAAGGGGGTGGCCACATGGGCCACGGCCTATGGCGGCAAATTTAGAGGGCGGCAAATTTTGCAATTTTTTTAAATGTAGGTATAAAGGAAATCGGATTCAGAAAAAAAAAAATTATCAATGAGAAAGGGAGCAAAATCTCTTTTTCCTGAGAGTATAGTAATTTCTAATTTTGTCGTTTTTCAGTGATATAAGAGACAGCATCTTCAATTAGTCGAGTTAAGAGAGAAACTAAACACGCAATTTGGCCTGGAGCTCAGCGCAGAGAGGAATGATGACGAGGACTTGAGATGAAAAGGATAAGCCCTCACACATCTTAGCGCCTACAAGACTGCATGAATACTTCACCCATTGCGCCAAACACAGTGCCGTCAGGAGCGGTTGGCGTGAAACGCATAGCGCCTACAAGACTGCAGGAATACTTCACGCATTGCGCCAAACACAGTGCCGTCAGGAGCGGTTGGCGTGAAACGCATAGCGCCTACAAGACTGCAGGAATACTTCACGCATTGCGCCAAACACAGTGCGTGTGCGATCAACGCAGCGCAGCGGCGGAGGTTAAAATTATTAAACCGCACATTTATGTTTGTTCCTTCATAATTTTTTGTTTCATTTCTTGTAAATGGAGGCATTTGTCCACACAGAGATAGGTTTACGGAACTTAACTTTCGCGTCGAGTTCCGTGAAATTTTGCTTAGTAGTGTTGACAGGGCTATCGCAAAAAAATGTACCTATCTAACACGAGTAGGTAAACGTGTCTTATGCACCCCTCCCCCTCCGGCACCTTCACTTGATGGTTTTTATTGATGTTTCAAAACGAATGAGAAGGGGGCGGCAAAATACAGGCGGACCGTGGGCGACAAGTAGGTAAATCCAGCCCTGACTGCGGGCTGATTATTGGCATTGATAGTCCAAGATATAGACAAACAAGACAAAAAGAAAATGGAACAATCCTATTGATGGTCGCAATGGACTAAGAAAGAAAGTAATAGACCACCTGACGGCTACCTACGAAAGATACTATGATTATTCCATCATTTCTCCCCGAAGTCTATACCACCCCTTTCGACCAATAGGAACGCTCCATTTTTCCTAAATCTTCTTTGTCCATCGTTTTTGTCTGTCAATTTCAATATAACCAGCCTGCGATTGTTACTTCCTTTTGCACCTTACGTGACAGGCGTCAGAAACTAGGACTCATTAAGATTTTCCACTAAGGTGCGTCAGGGATCAAAAAAGATATCATAAAGTTTTAATACGAAACAACTCATAAGGTTTTTTTTCACGACTTCATTGAAAAATAATTAATAAAAAAAACTACGTAAAGTTGCTCCTACCCAAGTAGACAGGTTGGAATATGGTGAGCTCACTCAGTAAAACCATTGTCTACATCGAGGTGTTCAGTATGCTCTGTTGCCTACCTTTTAATTGAAGGGGCTTCTCTTATTGACAAGTGCGATACAATACACGTGAAATAGATTGCAATTTTTCGTTGCATTGAATTGTTTCTTATTGAATAGTGTTCAATTGCAGTTAACTAAGGAGAGTATGCACATTCGAAAATAAGCTGATCTCCGTTAGCGCCGTTGGGGGCCTCCTATAATACTTCATTTTTTCTTTGGAAAACTTGTCAAGGTGATTACTTGAGAACTCCCTTGATTTTTCTTCTTTATCAACGGAATATTCTGTATTTTCTAGCTATGAAGTTGGCTTGACTCTATTCTAAAATATAGAAGAGAAACAGAAGATTTGAAACACCACCCTGAGGATACGTGATACGTGAAGATACGTGCACTTCTGCCATCAATATTCTTCATAATATTAAGGATAGATACAGGAAATCTTTCTTTGTTGTTTAATTATGGGTGTAAAAAATAAAGCTGTTAAAAAAATCAGGCAACATGTAGAATTCTGATTACAGCAGCTCGATTTATTTCCATATGGGTTACCTATTCAATCGTTAACGTTCCTTAGGACTTGAAGCTTGACATACCATTCCTTGACCAAAGTCCTACAAAAAGTAGGTTTGTGGGTTCGGCTCTGGGGTTCTTTAAAGCAGAAATTTTCGACTAATTTTTCTTTTAATGCGTCACTGTTTCTTAAAAATGATGTTCCTGTTTTTCAGGATTCTGTTATCAACTAGATCCACTCCTTAAACCAAGATTTGCCGTTATTTATTTGTTCTTTACCTTCCTATTCTACTTTTGTTTGTCCTATCATGATGCTGTATTGATTTGTTACTGTGTATTTACTTGTTTCTTTGATTTTAGGGGCTTGAATTTAGTTACAAGTTTTGCACCTGACTGCAAGTTAAGGCAAGAATGTTGACTTTATTATTCAATTGCTGATTAATACTTTGCACCATTGTGGAACCAAGGACAGTTTGGACCAGCTGTGAAAAAAGCTCAGCTTGCATACAGCTTGGGTTTGGAATATAATTCTTCAAATTTAAAAATTAGATTTTGCAACTAGCAGTTGACAGTAGCCAACAAAATTCGGGCCTTGGGCTGTTATCCTGTTTGTGTTATAGTAAATAATTAAATAAATAAAAATATGGCAAAATATAGGAGGAAAAATGCTACACATATTTGAACAAAATAAAGAGTTCTCTTACATGTGGCGTGGTTGTATAGAGAGTTTCGATATTTCTGGATTCTGCGGTAAAATAATTTTTTTGAAATCAATTGATCATTGAAACATAGACTCATGAGCTAAGATATGATCTAACTGATGGGAGAGGAAAATTAGCAACAACAAAACTTGTAATTTTGGGGGTGGTATAATTTTTCTTATACAATAACGAATAAAAAATCACAACATATAAAAAATTGAATTTTTTCCCTACGTTAGAAGTAGAATTCTTCAGAGACATAGTGTACGGATAATGGCCTAGACTGATTACCTGCAACAAACACAAGTCAGATAAATTAAATTAAGGATTTAAACAATCACTTTAGGTACTAAAAATCAATCAAATATGCTAAATAATAAACAGGTTTTACATTGCGGAGAGATAAGAGTGAAAGAAAATTGATACTACATTTGCTGAAGCATAAATATATTCCCCGGAAATGTTCATTAAAATACGAAGATTTAGCAAGCATTGAATTGCATAGAAAAATAATACAGGATATATGTAGGATGGAACTTTTATGTGACCAAAAGGAACAGCATTAAAAAATTTAAATAAGTGAGCGCGATTCTCCACAAATCATTCCTCAACAAGACCATCTCTTCATTATATGGAGGATGGTTTCATACATTTGAATTGGTTGCTGATGAACTGATCAATAAAAACAAAGAAAAAAGATGGACTAAAAGAGCAGGAGGAAAAGGAAACTTACCAAGTTTTCATGCCCATTTCATCCTCATCAGCCTCTTCGCCCTCTGATTCGAATGTGTTATCCGGAATGGCAAACAATCTTATTAAAGGCTGTAACAGAAAAATATAAGAATGAAATTAGAGTTGCTTTGCGGTCAGAGTGAATTAAGCCATTTGCAACCATAGTGCAACATGCAATGGGCCTGTTGCAAACTTTTGCTAGAGCAAAAATAAGAGTTGTTTCTTATAGATAATGCCTCGAAAATCACGATGAGCGCATCAGCAAAGTCTGAAATGCACTCATAACTTCACAGTCTGCGTAAGAAATTTGCGTTTTTTTAAGCTTCCCGCTTCAAAAACGATACTACGGCACAGGTGAACATTTTGTAAGAGGAGTCGTTCCATCGTCGGCAATAATCATCATGGCCGACGCCAATCCGCCAAAACACGTTTGATGGGACGAGATAACATCTGAACTGGATTAGACCAGATAACAATCGGTGTGTTAACGTTCATATTTTCCACGCCCGAATTGATTGACCTTGAACTCTCCTCGAATTACGCGCGGAACTGCGCGCAAGCGTCGGCCATGATGAATATCGCCGACGATGGAGCGACTCCTCTAACAAAATGTTCACCTGTGCCGTAGTATCGTTTTTGAAGCGGGAAGCTTAAAAAAACGCAAATTTCTTACGCAGATTGTGAAGTTATGAGTGCATTTCAGACTTTGCCGATGCGCTCATCGTGATTTTTGAGGCATTATCTACAAGAAACAACTCTTATTTTTGCTCTAGCAAAAGTTTGCAACAGGTCCATTGTTGAGCTAAAGCACCGATATTGAGGTTGTTATATTGTAATTCTGCATAGACTGTCGCAGTAATGTTTAGAGTGCCGTTTAACTCAAGTAGATTATTGTTTTTTTCTACAGGCAGGAAGTTTGAATTTATGCATCGAAAAACACTAATATCATTGTTAGGAGTTACTTTCAGTAATTTTCATTGTACAAATTATGTTCTATAGGAAGTTAAAATGAGAAAATATTCATCATAATGTTTTTAGCATCTTGTCTAAAGTCTGTTAGGAAATAATATTTTTCTGGGTGATTTTTTTTTTTTTTTTTTTTTAATACCTAGAGCTTTTTGCTTAATGAGTAGCCTTTAATAAAGGCTAAGGTCTGGAAAATGAAGGAAAAATAAGTCTTACCTTGTTTGGATCCTTCATTATTAAGTATTTTCCGTCCTTCTGTTTCATACACAAGTCGATTATACACCTGAGGATACCCCATGCATTATCCATGTTCAAGTTGATTTGCACGGCGAATTCCTGTGGCTTGCAATGTTGTGTGTCTAGGATTACGTGCTTAGATGGGTCTTTCACGTGGACTCGACTGACATACCTGCAACAGCAAAAAAAATTAATCAAACTCTGTCAAAATTGATCAACCTAGAGGTCAAACAGTGCATTCTTGTAAATTGAAAGTATAAATACCAGAAAAAGCATATGAAATGAAATTTTTTGATCAACGTGTGGCCAGATCTGTGAAAAAAGATCCTTTCTTTCTGGAGAATATTTTTTTAAACTTTTTACAAACACTTAAACCATGTTTTTTTACAACCCTAGAATTTTTATCTTGAAACTTCAGAGCAAATATCTTCATCAATATTTGAGATTTTAGGGTCTAATTTGTGCCAGAATTTCATGACTTCCTTCATCCTGATACATTTGCAATTTGTTCATGAAAATTTTCTTCCAAATGATGAAGTCTCTTTTAACAGATTTGGTCACATATGAGTTCGACCATCAGTAACTTACAAAATGTAGCTGTGGCAGCTGTTCACTGTGTTTGCAAGTCACAACGAAACTGCTTCCCTCTATAGATCTTTTCTGAAAATACTTTTGATGCACACAAGCTGTCATGTCAACAGACTTTTTATTTCTTACAGATTTCAAGTCTAAAGATTTTTCAAATTTTCCGTCTTTCTCATAAAATCACCAGACCTGATAAAATTTCTCAACAATTCACGGTATTTCATGTTTTCTAGAATTAGAGACACCCTGACTACGGTGAGGTAATACTTGCTCCGTCTCAATAACTCACAAAGATTCATCAAGGTTCCTGGCAGCAACATATAAGGGTTTATATGATGATAGCAGGGACACGGGCAAAAATATCAGGGTGAAGGAAATCTAAGGCAGCCTAGAGAAATTGGTAAGGATTTAACGTGAAAATACCCGAATCGCATTTGATCCGAACCGGCCAAAAGAGCTTGGACAGTCCATTTGGCTAATTTGCAAGCGTTGTTCCGCAATTCATGTGCTAGCACACCTCCTCTTTGTGTATCTAATTTCTGTCTCCAGTCCACTCCACCAGACAGCTACAATAAACAGCAACAAATAAAATTAACAACATGTGCTTCATACGGTATCTTTATACAGAGAAAATACTTTTTTGAAAACTTGCGAATTATTGAACTCACGCTTTCACTTACTGTCTTTTTTAGCTAGAGCGCATTTCGGAAGCTACCTGGCCAGCTGCCTGTATCAGCTGATGATGGTATCCAGGGTAGACACTAAAACGCGTTCTATGAAACAATTTGAGAGGTAGAAGCTTGAGTCTAGTAATTTAAAGGTTTTAAAATCAACAGTTCTTATAGTTTATAAAAAAAAAATTCGATAGGGGTCAAATTAAATCTTCGACCTTCATTTTGCAGAGAATTTAAATTTTACAGATTAAAACCAACCCACCTTCCCATGTTTGAAACCCCTTTCTAGGGCCTTATCACAGGAGACCAATTGTGATCTGCCTGTCATGCAGTCGAGAGATTTCTGTATCCCTAATAATTATTGTCAAGAGGGTAAATTGACAATTAGCAAATCTTTTAGTGTTCTAAAAAATTCTTGGCCTCAGTTGATTGTATGAATTGAAAATGTTCTCTTCAAAGGTTGGAAAATATTAAGGGGAGGGGAAAACAAGACATTTGTTTTTGTTTCCACAGAATTTTATCTTTATTTTAAAAAAACAAAAAACAAAAACCAAACCCCCCCCCCCAAAAAAAAAAAAAAAAAAAACCCAAATAGAAGTGATAGTTTGCTCATAGTACATCTTTGAACCTTTTACTTTGCTGAAACCCATGGCAATTTTTAACCAATTATAGGTGCATACATTCTTAGGAGACGGTGATCGAATATGTATGTAAAACACAAATTTCAACTCTAAATCTCATGGTCTTGCTACTATAGGCACATGGCAAAAAAAAGGAAGGGACATTAATTTAAAGAGACACGAAAAGGATAAATTGTGAAAATAAAATGAATACCTTGGGATCCCATTCATTCAAAGCCTTGATTGTTAAAAATAGAACATCGCCGTTGGGCATTTTTAGCACTCCATCGTGCTCACAACGGGCTACTAGCACAATACCATCTCCAAGATCCCACTTCCGGTAGCGATAACCGACAGATGCAATTTCTCCTTCCTCCTCTTCAGATGCGAAGGGATTTGGCTCCGGGAATTTGTAGCGTGGATCACCCTGTAAGAAAAATGTGGAAGTAAAATTACACATCTACTCAAAAGAGCGGTGAAAAACAAAATTCATTCTCATTGCACCAGAGCTGTAAGTATGTTAAATGTGTAGTAGCTCAGGACAGTGGTTTGTAGGAAACTCTATATATTGTGCTAATATGTGTTAATTTTTTCTTTTTCATTAAAAAAGCCTCTCTCTTTCAGGTAGTGTGTTTTTTATCAGTGTTTCTGGACTTATGGAGTAAAATGTGGAATGTAGACATGAAATTATTTATACCACCAGACAAATACTTGGAAGTAACTAAGAGGATAATGTAATGGATGTGCGTATTGACGGTGTAAGTCGGCAATCGAATAACTCGGTTTGCGACGTCGCAGACTTCCTGCCATACTTTATTTTTTACACCGAAAACTACTCAACGGCAATTATACAAAACTGCCTTGATATTCCTTCTCTATGCGAAGAAAATTCTGCAAAAACTTCAAAGAATGTTGTCAATTTGTTCTCTTTTAAAAAAATAACATTGCGGCGGAGATTTTCAGACACCGCAAACGAGTTATGTGATTGCCGACTTACACCGTCAATATGCTTAAAATAAATTACAGGCATAATTATCTGCTATAAATTTATTGCCATCGATGGCCAAAGTGCAGAAACACGGATCTCCATCATAGTGTTCCAAAATGTCAACCTCTTTTTTCATTCCTCCAAAAAGAAGAAAACCAACTACATAGCTTGAAATTTACACAGTGTAAATAATATTCTGCTGATAGAGAAGAAGGATCAAGGAGTGTTCAAGAAATTATGTTGAGTGGGTTTCCAAAGAAAAAAGAACGTATGACAGGAAGTTTACAAGCTCACAAACAGAGAGACATGTGTTTGCACTTTGGCCAGCGATATTTCATACCGAAAATCATTTGCCTCCAAAAATAAAATAACAAAAGGTAGAAAGAGGAAAAAAGGAAGGGATACATGGGATTCAACGAACCTTTTCAGCTGTTTTTAAAACTTGCTGCGAGAAGTTATTGTTGATGAATGTCGCTTCAAGAGCTAGGTTCCTCGGGGAATTGACACCTGTGGGATCTTCTTGCGGAGGTTCACTAGCAGTTTCATTGACCGTTAATAGATCTGAATTTAGAAACAGACATAAAAAATTGGGGATCAGTGCTTAAAATTCTTCATAATTTCAGAAATAAGTCAGCATGCTTGTTTTGAAGTTTGATAGGTCAAATATTTACACCATAAGTAGGATGTTTAAACTGTTTTTTGACAAACAACAAATTAAATTTGTAACAGTTGACCAAGTATAGTAACCTGTTGCATCATTTGAAAAAGCAGTAATCAAGACTGTAATCAATAAGACTGTTCAGCTGCAGTTATCAATTGGTCCCTTTTTTGTAAATATCAAGGTAATTTGAAAGTTTGAGTTTTTTATGCGACTCGTTTCTCGTTCATCTTAGTAATCAAGAGCTAAAGATTTTCAACAATGAACTGAAACACCTACCCAGATATAAATCCCTTCTCATTTAATTTTCCCTTAACTCGGCTAAAAAATTGAGGTAAGAAAACTGTACGTTAATCATAATTCTTATTGAGCTGAAACCAAAAATTGACAAAAGTAAAAAGTTCACTAAACCATACCGAATTCTGTATTGTCACGCTTGTCAAAGAATAATTTATCGCCAACTTTCTCTATGACTATATCCCATGGATAATTTGAGCGTGTGCAACACATGATTGTTGCCAAGATAGTGTCAGTTGCATAGACGTTGCCTTCGTTTTTGGACAGCTGGAAATCAGAAATCAACCATAATTTAATTAATCAAAATATCATACAAGTCACAATTTTACTCAAGTGTGGGATTATCTGTGAGCATGGAGGATACATTTTCTACAATTTTAAAGAGCTAAAGATGGGGTGTTTTTCAACATAAAGCATAGACGGAACCCTGTGTAAATGAAACTAAATTTTAAAATGATCAAATTCTTGGGGGAGAAATTTACATACATAGGCTTAATTCTAAAATGAGTTTATTTGGTTGGCAATTGGGTATATTTAATTTTAAGCTACAAACTTCAAAGTGAAATCAGGAGGTTGAAGTTTCAGCAAACCCCCCCCCCCCCCCNCTTAATCAGGTTAAACTTTGGCAAAAATTGTTCAAGGTGGATCTTTAACTTTCAGTTCCACAAAACATCTCTTGTTATTGTAGGTTTAAGCCATTACCAGTATTATTTTAGAAAAACCAAAACTTATAATTCTAACTAAATCATTGAGAAATGATCATACAAAAATCAACCTTTAAAGCCAGGAAAAAACTCAGTACTGCTTTCAAATCTAAACTGGCTTTGATTTAATGATAATGATGGTTAATTGGAAATAGAACTTGAGACTTAATTCTAAGATTTCAACGGCTGATTTTTGATAGAAACATTTCTGGATGATAGATTTAGAGGATTCATTGTGAAAAACATGGGACCATGTGGCCCCTGTTTCTCACAGGCCCCACATGGGTATAAACTAAACAATTGGCAGTAGGGACTGTAAGTTACTAAAAAATAACATTACCTTTCGGATGACAGGATCATCAGTTGTTGTTACAGTATGGAAAATTCTCTCAATGCGCTGAAGTGGTTTTTCATTTTTCACTTTGACACGATCATAGGTCTTGTCATAGTACTCTAAGGCACCACAGCAGGTACTAAAAACAAGAAAATGGTTAATAAAATATGTTGTTTTTAGGTAGTCTTTAAAATTTCTGTGCCCTCTGTTTAAGAAAAATACTCTTAACTACCAATGTTAAAAGTTATAGATGTTGCAATTGGAAATTTGAAGACTAGTTTTAAAAATTTATTGGGTAGGTAATTTGATTACACTATTCATGTAGAGGAATGGGAAAATAAATTTCTGAGTTACTCAATGCAAATTAAGCTAATTGAGCGAACAGTTTACAGTATGAACTTCGGGAGACATCATTCATTAATTTCCAAACAGAATACTTGCCAAGGGGATGGCAAACCATTTACAGTCACAGCTTGGATTCATAATAACAAAATGAAGCCTATTCATTGAAGGTTGAACCTATTTACAAGAGCAAAGTGAATGACATACTACGTGTTTAAATTAATACTCACAGGTCTGCAGGATCCTTCACGTTCGGTAGGGATAGTTTTGAAAATCGGGCAAAATCTATTTCCTCAATAATACTCCAATCAGCTCGAACAGTAACAGAAGCGTCACGATTTTTGACAGGGGCTTGGTTCCTATTGTTTCGCATACCTTGCTGCTTGCGGAATCCTCTGTTTGCAGTCTGACCTTTCCGAAGTCTGGAAATAAAAAGAGTATTTTCACTAAAAATGACAACAGACAACCGTTTTTTAGAAGAAATTCAATTTAATTGTTCTGGACCACCTTGATAAGATGATGGCTGTGAGTATGCAATTTTTCACTGAGGTTTTGGAATAATTCTACGGAGAAGAGGAGGAAGATGAGACAAAGGAGAGGAGAAAGAGGAAGAAGAAAATAAGGATACAATAGAAGAGAGGAAGAAGAGACTGAGAGTGATATTGAAGAACATTCGTTTGCTCATCTTATTTGTTTCTCTGTGAGTTCAGATGAAAAGAGGATTTTTGAATACTAAGAAATGAAGGAATATGAGAATATATTCAAAGAAACTTGGATTAAATACAATTAATAAGGAATGGCATTTTTTTTTTATGGAAAACGTACCCTTGCTGCATTTTTCCTTTACCCAGCATCTGGAAATGGAACTGTCCGCCTCCACCTCGCATACCTCTACCACGCATGTTGCGGAGATTCTGACGGAAGCGGCCTCGCTGGTATGGTGGTTTCTGAATGCGAGCTGTATCGACAAGGTGGAATGAGCTCTCATCTTCTTCATGGTAGTATGCATACTGAGACAGACTTCCAAATTGTGACTGATATTTGTCTGAAAAATAAAGAGGAACTTTTATTTTCTGAGCAATGAAGTACATATTCTCGTTCTTTGAAGAATCCAGTAATGTTTTTATCACTCAAGCAAGCTTGAAAATAAAATGGGGGGAAAAAAAATAAAAAATATCTCTGCACATATTTTTTAAAATTTTCAGAGCTGTTGTCAGGGCAGATACACATTAATGATTGAATTTGTGCCTTTTGATGTCACATAGTGTCAGATACATTCAAATCGCATGGCAAGGCCAATACTCTCTGAACGTTAAATGGCTGCTCAAATTGAAATGCAATTACCACATTGTATTTACTATTGGATTGTTAAGAGCGCAATGAGACTTTTGTGAGGAGACAAATTAAATATTTTTGAAAAAAATGTAATAGTCAACATTTTTCCCAGCTCCTTTGACTAATGGTCATTGTCTCAATGCATGGTTGCTATAAAAAATGCAAGCGGCAAATTTCTTTAGGTTCCACCATTTCAGGCCATACGCGTCTATTCTTGGCTGATCTTGAGAGCTCAAAGTCAAGTTCTTCATTCCTGCGAAAGATCTATTCTGACTGAAACAAACCATTCCTGTATTATGTAAAACAAAATGGAGTTTCTTTTTTCATTTTCTACAGATGTTTGCCGGTGCCTTTTTTAACTAGCCTTGTAGATTTTAATTATTACTTAATATATCAGTTAAAGTATTTAAAAATTTACAGCAATTGCATTTATATAAGCGTCCCATTTTCTTGGCACACTTACTGAGTGTGAGTAACTACTCAATTTGTACTGTGCCTAGTTACACAGAGCATAAGGTGACTTAATACTGGACACTTTATCACTATACAGATACAATTTGATGTATGCAGAAATACTCAAAAAATTGGCAGCTTAGTCAGAAAAGAAATAATGGATTCTTACCTTTGTATTTCTTGTCTAGAATGGCAGCACCAGTCCAATCTGAAATCTGAAAATTTCAGAAAAAAGAGAAATTTGAATCCTGAAGTTTGAAGAAACCTAAATTAATGGGTCGGTAACAAGGAAAAAAAGCTTAAAGGACTGAATAATAATTCTTTGTCTGTATCTTTGCAAAATTTCAGATCAATGGAAACACCTGCTTGTCTGCCGTTAGAGAGGATGAGCATGAATATTTCTATGACTAAATATTAAACTAAGAAAATCAAACATAGGACATTCATCTGAATCTGAAGGTAACAAGAATAATATTTAGTGACACTAGGGCAAAGTGTCGGGAATGCGACGCTATTTCAATTTTATCATGTAACTTACATGAAACCGTGTTGGTGTGGCTACATTAATTAAGTTAAAACAATATGGGAAAAAAGGTACGTAGACTCAGTTCTCTATCCAAGTAACATCTCATGATCCTATCTTGAAATAGAAAAAAATGAACAGTTTTGTAAGTAGTGCTCATCAGAAAATAAATTCAATTTTGGAAATTGAGAGAAAGTTTGCTTCTCAATGGTATTTCGGAATTCATCTCTTCTCTTTAGCACCTACATTCAGTGATGTAGGCTGGATTTTTTCCATATGAATCGTAGGTACTTAATCTTTTAGCATAGCACTAATGGTGACAAGAGTTAAGAGTCAAAAAGTCAAGTTTCTCAAATTTTTTGGTTAACTCAGCCCTTTAACATAGCTCTTATGTAAGGAAACGTAAACTTAACCCATTCGCCTCATATGACAAGTATACTCAGCGAGCGCCTAGGACATATCTCAGTTGACGGGTTAACTCACACCATTTATCAGCATTGCGACACTCAAAATGCCATGTATCAGAAAAGCAAAAAAACAGGACCAAAAGAATTGCGTAGCAACGCTTACAGATTGAGCGAATTCACTCGTCAACTGAGATATGTCCTAGAGCGCGCTGACAAGTATAATCGTCAAAGGATGCAAATGGGTTATCTGATTCTGTCCAATTCTTTTGTTCACTTATCGCAACACAACAGCTCTGTCAACCTCTGGAGACCGTTAAGCGTAGGATTGAGATATAAGATAGTCATACATAAGAACGCACGTCATCCAATAATTAAAACCAAGAAAATCAATACCAACTGTTCGACATCCGATACTCCTGTTTCCAAACCCACATAAAGAGTGTACTCGGGTCACAGGCCTATTGTGAGAGGCTAGGGAAACCCAGCAAAGAAAGCAAAAAGAAGTGAGTTCAAAGCCATTTAGCTATTGACAATCTAAAACTCTGGTAAAAAGGGATAGTTGAGAGCTAATAAGTTCAGATCTCGGCCTGCGTAAAGATAGCGCTCCTTTCTAACCAACAATTGGTATCTAAAGAAAACCAATTATACTATCATTATAGCAACTTCCTCTGAGTTTCAGAAACCATGATTGAATTAGTGGATTCACCAACCTTTCCTAGACGATCTCCTTTTGAGAAAGGTTGATACGGCATGTCTTTGAACTGGTCCGGCATATCTCGCGGCCCCCATCCATCTGGATTATCCTGAATCGGGGGAGCCTTGAAATGACTAGGTCCTGAACCTTCAGGCATTGTCATAACCCAACAATCTCAACGTAATACCTGGAACAGATAATTGTGGATTAGATGGAGGTCAGATGTGTGCTTGATTAGATAGTGTGATTGTAGTGTAGAGGCATCCATACGCCCATGCCCATAAGAAGGCCGGCGATTTTCAATCTCGGAGGTTCCGATGATAACTGTCAATTTCCGATGCAATTAGCGATTAGAAAAATAATTGGATAAAACAGGTACGCAGGATAAATAGACTGGCTGAAGAAAATTAGGCAGAAATAGAAAACTTACGTGATAAAGTCGGGATTGAACACGCGACAAGAGCACAGAGAATAATAATCAAAATCGGCTCATGAGCGATTTAGATGGAGCAACTTTCAGCAGAGATGGAAGGTTCTCACTGGTGCCAAATTCATTTATAATTGTAATCATTTTTTCAAAAAATTTTAATTTAACAACTGTGGTAAAAGATATTTCAGAAATAAGAATTTTTATTTAGAGAAAACATGAAAATTATAATGACTTTGACTGCGAACAGTCAAAGTTTAACATAATTCAGCGATGATAAATATGACATCATTTAAAATGGTTGGTGAGCCGGCAACCAGTGGGGCTGAAGGAAGAGAGGGGGCGCAGTAAATATTTATACAACCTCACTTCCCTATCGCCTAATCAAATTACTGATAAGACTGCAAGCTATTAATTAATTTAGTAATATGAATGCTGCAGCCGTAGAAGGATTTCTAAAGTGCTCATGAGTGCAACATTAAATTAAGTTTAGTAGTTTATGTAAGTATTGCCCTTTTTTTTCCTCCTGGTTGCTGTAGTTTGTTGAACCAAGACCGAGAGTGTAATGAATCACACGTGAAACAAGTCCTTATTTACAGTGACCATTTGTTCAGTAAAATTGTAACTTCAATCACTCCTGCTCCACTATAGCTTTATTCTACGAATTGATCTCTCTCAGATCGCCACGGAGAGGGAATTCCATGAGAACACATTGTCACATCAACTGGACACAGTCAACAACTTGATACCTCTACCGAACCTTTCACCGTAATCCAACGAATAATTTTATCGGTTTTGCATGAAAATTAGTCACATAGTGCTCATTAGCACCTTCATTTGTAAAAGAATTTGGAAACATTTTTAATTCATCCTCTTCCTGATACCCATGCTCTCCTGAAACTCGAAGATTAACACTTACCTACGGGTAAATGCAGGAGTAAATAATTCCAATATTCTCTTATTGACCATTTGGATCATCTATAAACTTTAAAAAGCAGGCAATGAGTCAAGGAATTTTACTAGAGCTCCTTCAAATCTCACGAAAATTGCTGATTGATTCAGTCTCAGCTTTTGGTTTATTGCTTCTCGATTTCATGTAAGTTTTGTGCTATTACACTGTTTAAGCAATTAGATTTTGATGAAGGCTAAATTTGAGATCTTAGGCAATGAAATATTGCTAGTATTTCATGAAGCAAGTCTTACAAGGCGAGAAATTCTACAACAATGTTCTTTATGTATTTTGATTTTTCATTCTTTTTCAAAAAATTATAATGGAGAAGTGACAAGGAATTTTTGCAGGGTTGTAGCACAATTTAACTCTTGTAAAATTTCACTAAAAAACGAAGAACTTCATCNGAGCAACTTTCAGCAGAGATGGAAGGTTCTCACTGGTGCCAAATTCATTTATAATTGTAATCATTTTTTCAAAAAATTTTAATTTAACAACTGTGATAAAAGATATTTCAGAAATAAGAATTTGTATTTAGAGAAAACATGAAAATTATAATGACTTTGACTGCGAACAGTCAAAGTTTAACATAATTCAGCGATAATAAATATGACATCATTTAAAATGGTTGGTGAGCCGGCAACCGGTGGGGCTGAAGGAAGGGAGGGGGCGCAGTAAATATTTATACAACCTCACTTCCCTATCGCCTAATCAAATTACTGATAAGACTGCAAGCTATTAATTAATTTAGTAATATGAATGCTGCAGCCGTAGAAGGATTTTTAAAGTGCTCATGAGTGCAACATTAAATTAAGTTTAGTAGTTTATGTAAGTATTGCCCTTTTTTTTCCTCCTGGTTGCTGTAGTTTGTTGAACCAAGACTGAGAGTGTAATGAATCACACGTGAAACAACCTCTTATTTACAGTGACCGTTTGTTCAGTAAAATTGTAACTTCAATCACTCTTGCTCCACTATAGCTTTATTCTACGAATTGATCTTTCTCAGATCGCCACGGAGAGGGAATTCCATGAGAACACATTGTCACATCAACTGGATACCGCCAACAACTCGATACCTAATTACTTACCGAACCTTTCATCGTAATCCAACGAATAATTTTATCAGTTTTGCATGAAATGTAGTCACATAGTGCTCATTAGCACCTTCATTTGAAACAGAATTTGGAGCTCATACATTTTTAATTCATCCTCTTCCTGATACCCATGCTCTCCTGAAACTCGAAGTTCAACATTTACGGGTAAATGTAGGTGTAAATAATTCCAATATTCTCTTATTGACCGTTTGGATCATCTATAAACTTTAAAAAGCAAGCAATGAGTCAAGGAATTTTACTAGAGCTCCTCCAAATCTCACGAAAATTGCTGATCGAATCAGTCTCAGCTTTTGGTTTATTGCTTCTCGATTTCATGTAAGTTTTGTGCTATTACACTGTTTAAGCAATTAGATTTTGATGAAGGCTAAATTTGAGATCTTAGGCTATGAAATATTGCTAGTATTTCATGAAGCAAGTCTTACAAGGCGAGAAATTCTACAACAATGTTCTTTATGTATTTTGATTTTTCATTATTTTTCAAGAAATTATAATGGAGAAGTGACAAGGAATTTTTGCAGGGTTGTAGCACAATTTAACTCTTGTAAAATTTCACTAAAAAACGAAGAACTTCATCCAAAAGTCCAAGAATTCAATTCTTTGGGGGAAAAAGTTTTTCCAAATCGGACCAATCTAAGGCCAACAGTCGAGTTGACATAGCGAGGCCATGCCTGAAGCTAAGTTCAATCAGTCGGGAAAAGTCACTTCCTCCGCCATTAGAGCCCACCGAAAATTTTGTTTGAATTGGGTCCCACTTTTGGCATTTTCGTAACAGGGTTTCTTTGCCATACATCATAGGATTAAAAAAATCTGAAAAAATACCCATAAAACCACAAACCACCACCCATAATGCAGTGCCTTGTTTTTGTCCTCAATTTCTCTCTGTGCGTACCAGGAGATTGTGATGGTCTATCTATTTTGATGACTGTGTTAGTGAAATGATAAATCAACCACATTTTTGCTCAACCCCTTTTTAATACCTTTTTGTGTTTTTTTGCAGTATCTGGCCAACCCCTCTTAGGAACATCATGACTCAAAGAGAAGGACTTTTCTCTTACACAACGCTCACACATGCTATAGCAGGTGCGACTGGTGGAGTTCTGGCTACCATGATGTTCTATCCGTTGGAAACTGTTAAATCCAGGCTTCAAATTGAAGAAAACCAAAGGAGAGACAACCAGAATTCTTTCAAAATCATGATTGAGTTAGCTGAAGAAGAAGGGGTCAGCACTCTTTACAGAGGCATGCTCCCTGTTGTGCAGAGCGTGTGCGTGTCCAGCTTTGTGTATTATTACACGTTTCATGGTCTCAAAACGTTTGTGAAGTCACCATCGGTGAGCAAGGATCTGATTCTAGGGATTGTAGCTGGCAGCATCAATGTATTGACCACAACACCATTTTGGGTGGTGAACACAAGACTGAAGATGAAAGGCTTGAGATCCTTTGAGCCTCTCAGATATTCCTCATTACTGGGTGAGTCGATAAATCCATGGTTTGATTCTATAAATAGTGTTCTTAAAAAATAAGTGACATTACTTATAAACTTTCTGAATTTGGTGAAAGAGAATAAAAATTTGCCAACAATTTGACCAACTTTTCTCTAAGACTTTTCCTGCGGGTTGATTATTGAAATTGATAGACACATTTTTATCTTCTTTTTTTTCCAATAATAGGTGGGCTGAAACGAATATACTTAGACGAAGGACTAGGGGCTCTTTGGCGTGGCACTGGTCCCTCTCTCCTCTTGACCTGCAATCCTGCCGTGCAGTTTGCAATCTACGAAACATTGAAACGTGAAATTGGATCAAACTTAAGCGCCATCCATTACTTCTTTTTAGGTGCCTTTTCAAAATGTGTTGCAACCATACTGACGTATCCTCTGATTTTCATTCAAAATTTACAGAGAGTAAGTACCTAATTATGAAAAACTCTTTTTTGTATACTAATTTCAGAAATTTGATCACCTATTTTTCATTAGTTTTGAAAAAATTCAAGTCCTGTCAACTTTTCTCAATTCCATTTCAAAAATGAACTGACAGACTCTCGATAAGGTATGTGTAGTATTAGCAGTTTTGATTGCCGGATGAGGTCCCCTCATAATTTCTCCCCTTTGAATTGCTAGACACTTGTTGACTTTAAGGAACAGTTTAATAAATATTTTCATGAGGCACCTACTTTAGTTACAGTTTTGACTCTAATTTTTAGAAATTATATCTTTGGAAAATTAGTCATTTTCCCTTTACTCAAACCTTAACTAACCTCCATTGTTGTACTAGTACTTAAGTCTAATCTTTTCTTTGATCAGATATTTTTTGTGTTTATCCATGTACATTGATCAATTTTATGTGCTAATTGGCAAAGTACATTACTAAAGAAGAAAAGTGAACAAAAAATAAACTAATGTTGTAAAACAGCTGAAGATACAGAAAAGAAAAAAAAAAGAAAAAGATAAAAATGAATGAATGAAAAATATGAAGGACAGTCTTTCTTTTTGGAAACTTAATGTTGACATAAAATGTAGAAGATGAAAGCTTCAAATTCATAAAAATTCAATTTTCACTCAGTATGTAACTCATGTACCAACCTTAAAAATTCGTATTTAACGTTCCTGCAGCAGCAAATCATTGCTTAGAAACAATACCATTTATGTTTTCCGTTAGTACAAATTTGTCACTGTAAGGTGCTTTGACAGTAACACCTGGAAATTGTATTATTCCACTGATTGAGACAAAAATTATCTACTATCGTATTTGTTTTAAAACTATACCTCCTTTGATGAGTCATTTCATTATCATTTCTTTCTAATACAAAGTGAATTTTTCTTTTTTCAGCACGGTCATAAATACAAGAACTTGAAAGCCAATGCAAATGCTCTAGAGCTAATTTTATATATCACAAGGTAAAGTATAGCTTTTGATGGATGCTTCAATGCCTTATACCTCCTATAGAAAATTGTATATCTTACTTCAAAGAAATAAATCAACAAGATTTTTCAGAGTTTAATGTAATGGGAAATTCGCAATTCAATCTTACACAGGAAGTCGATTGGATCCTTTCTGATGAACTTGGTCTATTTGGAATTAATTATGCTAGAAAGGTCACGTATACTATGACTTTAATCGACACAATTAGTGGTGATGTCAAATTAGGGATTCTCTGTCATATAAAATTGGATCCAAACAATAACAATGAGATAACTTCTATCAATGTTACCGATGAAAATAAATCGATGCATGTGAATTTTCTGTGGCGTAACAATAATAGCGTCCATTGAGAGAAACTATGAAGCTTGCAAATGTCACGCGCATGATACTTTTTCATCAACTTTATTTTCACACTTTTCCTTTTAACTTAAATACGTCCATTTAGGATTTCCATCACAGCTCATCTTGGGATAAAAATTACTTATTTCTTTCTTCAATTTTGTAATGCCTAATGGCACATTTTTTAAAAAGTCCTAGAGCTTCAAGTGATCACAACTACCAATACTCAATCCTCCTAAGATTATATATTGCTTTGGAGATTCTGGTTTTTATCTTAATTTATCCATTTTTTCTTCTTTTTTTCAGGACTTTAGGTATTCAAGGTCTCTATAAGGGTTTGGAGGCAAAGCTTCTTCAGTCAGTATTAATGGCAGCGTTCGTGTTTGTCACATATGAAAAAGTAAAACAGATGGTTCACCGTGTTTTATTGCCAACGAAACTAGTCAAGTGAAGACTTTCTTGTCTTATATTTTAAGTACCTGATTAGATACATTTTTCACCCAATAGTATTTAAGACTTTAAAGACTTATTTTGGGAGTGTGCGTTAAATGAAGCTGTAAAAACGCGAAGGTATTTCTTGGACTAGTAGGCTCTACTCTTTCAGAAGGCTCTCTCCATAAAGAAAAATACACCATGAAGTAAGCAGTGTACCAAAAGAGCTAAACTACAGCGCTACACTAACATACAAAATCAAAATCAAAAGGAATGTAAGAGTAATGTCAATAAGGGAGGAGATTGCCGGGGCATCGGCTATCTTGCAACGGTGTGCAATCCCCAGTTTTAAGGGCGTTGCGAAATTTCCAGGGGGAACCCAGAATCAAACCGTGCTGCTTTTGGCGTATTGTCCCAGACGCTGTTCTACTGATGCGAGCTTCTGGAGGCCTATGGCTGTTCAGGCGCTGTTTCCTAGCAAAAGAAAACTGCAGCTGAAGGTTTAGAAAAGGAACTGCTGGAAGAGGAATACAGACGAGATAAAGAGGGCAAAAACCTAGGAAGGGTTAAAAACATGAAGGTAAAAAACGAATGACTAGCATAAGAGAGTGAGCAAAATTAATCAGGAAAATTGACAAATGAGGGATGGGATGTATAACAGTCCTTGCTGAGGAGCAAGGAATCTCTGAAGAAACATGGAAAGGTACAGACAGATAGATATGAATGCGGGAAAAGGGAAACAATCAAACCCGTGATATGATACTATCCGAAAAATAAGAGAAGCCCAAGTAAGTGGTCACAGGTGCAACTTTCTGAAATAACATCGTGAAAAAGTAGCAGCTTTTCAGCACAATTTTTGCTGCAACTTTGTTGCAAGTAGATGGCAAGGGATAGATTTTACAAAATCAGGATTTTGAAATACTGCAAACATGATTCGCGTTTTTACAGTTCCACCATTGGTATGCTTTGCATCGGGCGCTTGGGGTTGTGTATTCAAAATATTTAACAGGAGGGGTAATATTTAAGGAAATTAAAAGTCATGAGTTATTCTAAACTCTCAACATTTGTGTAACTTCTCAGTTTCAATTCAGAATTCTGTGCTCATTTTACATTTTCGTTACGGCCGAAATTTTAATGTTGAAATTAATATTCCTTCTTGCCATATTTATGAGTGGTTGAGGTTTCAGGTTTAAGGTTTTAAGTGATCCCGTATGTACTAACAAAATATCACCTCAAGGCCTCAGCTGACAATAATTAATTACTGTCGAATTTTTTTTCCTTTCTGTATTTTATTAATGTATGCCTACATTTGTATCCTGAAAGATTCTCTCAATCCACTCGACATTTAGTGATACCCTAGAATTAGCGTTTTTTGTGATAACATTTTAAACATTAAAATCATCTCATCATTTACATCATCTCACAACATTTTTATTTTTAAGAACTTCAAACGGAAGATGACGACATGACATAATCTATGGTTTCCCCTGTCAGATCACAGCAGGGTCACTAAATGTATGTAATATTACTTTACATTTACAAATAAATATGTAAAAATATTTACAAAGTGGCAAAATTTTCAACATCAAGAGAGAAGGGGTTTTTTATGTTGTGAAAACTAAGCTTGTTCTTTATAAATGTTTTTTTCTCATCTCACATTGAAGAATAAACGAGTCCTTTTTTTACAAAACAAGTCAATTCATTTTATCAAACCGTTCTGTGTGTTCCACAGACACTATCCCATGTCTCAAAATGAGATGCATAATTTTTTACTCCGATTATCGTTAAGTTCTTCAAATTTTAAGGTTGCTAACTAAGAAATGATAAATACATGACTCATCCACACAGGCCAGTCATTCTTGTGGACAATTTTTGAGGCCTTGCTGCGCATTGACAGTGAAAAGTTAAAATTTAATGCATTTCTCAAGAGATAATTTAAGTAAAAGCCAATTCTACATCACATGTGCAACAGTATGCTGGGGAGTGGAAAAGATGCGCAGTGACTGTTGTGTGTGGATTGGTCTTGGATAATCTGATGAAACAGTACAGCAAAATTAAGGACACAGCATTTTTATTAAAAAACTTAAACTCAAATCAATTGAAATAATTAAAATACTAAAGATATCACAAAATCGAAGACTTAAACATATTTGTACGGGTTGTAACTTTGAGTGCAGCTTTGATTGACATGAACATAAAAAATGAGATTTTTTGGTAAAAAAAGAAAACAGTTTTCATACCACTATTTGTTTCATGTGTGTGACATCATGAAAGTATAATTTGGAGTGGTTAAAATTAACGCTTCTCTGACAGCAAATTAATAGGGGAACATGGAGAAAAATTTTAAAAGGACATAGGAAATTTTTAAAAAATTTACAATTCTCTGGGGACAAAAAGTGCCAGGAAAAAAAGCTTAAAACGTCCTGCTTCAGAGGAATGTTTGACCTTTTTTAGAGAAACCCTTCCTCTTTTTGTTAGCCTATTTTTTTATTACGTAAATGAATACCTTTGTTCATTTTTTCCCATGCATGATATTGCATAATCCTAAAATCTTACACCAGACAGCCTCGATTTATTATGTTCAAACTGTCACTTCAAGTGATTCATCCAGAGCTAACGGAAATGGCAGAGTGATAAAGTAAAGATCTAAAAGAACATTATCCACTAATTAAGAGTGATAACACTCCACCAGAAGGACATTAGTGATCACCGTGCAGAAGAATTCAACCTCGCTTTACGTTGCTCCTCCAGCTGTAGGACTTCCGACCAAGACTGAGGGTCTAGGGAATCAAGGCCATGGCTGATCGCGTACAGCCGGCCTACAACTAGCAATGAGTGCAAGTCATCTGGGGAAACCTTTGCGCCTGGTCTTTGACGCATTTGAACGAAATCACTCTCGATCGTTTTGCTCATCTCAGCGGACAATTGGTACTCTTTCGACTTGATCGACAGGATAAATGCGCGTAATTCATCGACGTGTTGCTTCAGGTAGTTTTTGAGCGAGAGCATCATCTCTTCAACGACAGCTACAGATGAGGGATCAGGCTCTAATTTCACTTGGTATTTACACTGGAAAAGAAAAAAGATGCCTTGAAAAGATGAAATGAACGCGGGTGGGTATAATAGCACCTCTTGGATTAAAGATTAAGATGTTCACAAAAAGTCATCAGCATCAATGCCTATTTTCGTAATAGAGAAATACTCCTTAAACACGTTTCACTCAAAATGCGTCTGCAGTCTTGATCCATGGAACGAGTGTTACTCCCAATAGCCTGACTTTAAAAGGAAAAATTTCCAATCACAGGGTTGAGCTGAGAGTATGAAAATTAGTACATATCGATGGCTAAATGCAAAACCACGTATCTTCATTGCAATTTTTTAAAATTTCCGCCAGTACTATATTAATTCAAAGAGAAGCATGACAGCTTTATAGCTTGAAATTTATACAGAATATTAAGTGGACAGAGAAGAAAAATTAAGGCAGTTGTCAAGAAATTATGCTGACTAGTTTTCGAAAGAAAAAATAAAGTCTGACAGAATGTCCGAAATGGTGCAAACGGAGATAGGTGGTTTCGCACTTTGGCCATCAATATGCTCTTTCAGATAAATTGATTCTCAAAAGCCGTTAAATGTAAAAACAGCAGGAGCAGGCATCCGCTCCTTTTTTGGCTAGCAACTCATAGGTCACATAAAAGGCAATTTTTTCGTTTTCAACAGGAATCTCAGGCAATGACCTTCTTGCTAAAAGACCTAACAGCTCTCAAATTCTTAAAACAGTGCAGAAAGTCGCTACTTCAGGTAGTTTTTTAAGTTAACACAATTTATTCAGCTACATATGGAAAATATTGTTCTGGTTAGTATTGTATTCTTTGTTACTGTTGACAATTCTGCTGACATTTTCACTCTTATGGAAATAATCAAACATATTTTAAAAAACTCTACAAAAGTCCTCACAGGTTCAAAAAAAAAAAAAAAAAAAATGAATAAATGTGTAAAGGAGATAGAGAAAGAGAGGAGAAAAAATAGACTGTATTTGATTTAAAAATACTCACTGTCAACATAGATTTGGCCTCAGAGAAAATAATAACAGGAACATCAGTATCGATACCTAAATTGTAATATTGAAAGTTGTAATCCATTTTCTGATTTTTTATAATCGTAGATAGAGCCTTGGCATTGTGAACACCTGGAAAGACAAAGGTAAAAGTTAGCACATGACTGTCTATTTTAAGGAAGAATAATTGACTGAACTCCCAAAATAAACTCATAAAAGAAGAATGAACGTCTGTAGTATCCAATTGAATCTGTTGATTTCAACTTTTCACTTTGCAAATGAATGTCTCTCCTTGTCTGTATGCTCTCTGATACTGGTAATCATTAGAGCAAAAAATTTTTTGACTCGTCATTGAAATTTTTTTGGAATTTCTTGGCTTTGTTTTTCCCGAGAAATATGGTGTGGACCCAGCACTATTTCTCCACCTTGTCTCTCTAAGCAAACATAACGCGCGGTATCAAAGTGCCATACCGTGAAGTTATGCCAGAAATCACAATTGTAAATGGAAGTTTGCAACTTTCCCTGCTGAACGCTTACTCTTTCTGACACCTGCAATATTTCCAGTCCCTAGACACCATGTTGTATCCCCAAGAAGAGCACAGACTTGGTCTAATCCATCAATCTCTACTGGATTAATTTGGCTGTGGGTTAGTGGTAAAAAAGTAAGTTTATAACTTTTTCCCTTACCTTGATCTCTAAGCATACCAGCCTCGAACTTTGTTTCATCTAGAACAAGATGAGTCCCTGCAGGTAACTGAAGCATTCCACTGACAAGCCTATTTGTTTGATAATCTTTCCTGCAATTATAAAATAGGTTGATTACAGAGAGAAACTGCTTTGTAGGTACAAAATATATACTTCATACACTAATATACTGTATTAGGTGCTTTATAGGTACTTCAACATATACAAAATAAATTCAAACTTTTGTATTTTTTTTAAAAGTACACTAAACCTCAGACTATCTGAACTCCAGATTGTCCGAATAATTTAACTTTCAAATGCCTTTCTGCTGCATTGGTTCGAATAATCTAAGGTATAGTGTGAAATGAATTTCTGTACTTCAAATAAATATAGATTTTTTTTGAGGCCAGATGGCCTTCATTTTCATTGAACTTTCTTTCAATTTTGGAAAGCTGAAAATATTTTCATCAGTATCTGGAGATCACATCAGGCTTTCAGAGTTATAGTCTTAAGGCTCAATATTGGGCGTTTTCGGGATACAAAACAAAGAGGGTGGTACAAAAAACAGGGCAGGTTATCTGAATTACCCTTGATAATTATTAAATTTGATTGGGCTTTATCAAGTTTTACTCTGTAAGCACTTGCCCACTTAGTTGGAACACTCTGTATAAAAAATTTGCCCATCATGTTTTCTTCATAAAATCTTAAACTTCAAACAAACACTTACTTGGGAATCATTTTTGTATTGTTCATGGATGAAATGGACATTTGAAAGTAGTGGCTTTGTAGCAACAGTAATGCCAATACTTCGTAGACCAAGTTTGGATAAGAGGGGCAGCTCTGAAGGGGAAGATTGGTGATGTTAAGAGAAAAATCCCCTAAAACTGTGAGATCTTGGCGTAGAAATACTTTAGAAATTATATTGAATATCAGATACTCAGCTGCTAAGCTGTCTCCAAGCATGAGTTGTGTTAGGACAAACTTCAATTCATTTCTTAATCGTTTAATGTCTGCGGCTGTTTTATCTGCAACTAAAGCCAAAAAAAAAAATTAAGTAACAAAATTTTTGATATTCCAAATCTAAAAATCTTGATCTAGGTTGATGAAAGAGAATTTCGATTTGAGAATTTGTATTGTGATAGAAATAATTTTGATGGCCCAACTGCGAAACCACGTACCTCTGTTTGGAATGTCTCGGACTTCCTGTGATACTTCATTTTTTCTTGGGAAAACTAGTTAATTGATGTAATTTCATAGCAGATAATTCTGTAATAATTTAAAGCTTTGAGTTGGCTTGCTTCTCTTAGAGAAAATAAAATTGGAGCGGAAAATTTGAAACATCACGGTGGAGATATGTCATTTAGCACTTTGGCCATTGATTTATTGAAGATGGTAATAAGCAAAATCTATCAAGTCTACGCATATTTAATTAAAAAAGAAGAGGGGAAAGAAGTGCCTAGAGAGAAGGACTCTAACTGCAGCTTGGAAGATGCCTATTTCTGTTCTGATTGCTGCAATGAAAATCTTTCAACACGTTTAAGTCTTTTTAGACTTCAAGATTCTAGTATCAATTTACTCTGTGTATGACCTTTATATTGAGAGTCAGACGCCTTGAACAGAGATCTTTGAGATTTTTCAAATACTCACACATTGCAGGAATTGCTGGAACAATGTAAGAACCATCCAGATGCTTGACACCCACAACATGGATCCGTGGAACTAGTGATGGCGGCAACTTGGAGACACCATCGTCCATCTCAAAATCTCCTCCATCCTCCACAGGCGCCTGGAATGGGTCGTTAGCTAAAAAGCCAACTACTTCTACAATTGAGTTGAGTTTGACATCCTCATCCATGCTATCATAGAAATTTAAGATGCATGCTTTTCCCTTCGGATTGGAGACTGGGAAGTTCAGATCCGCCTCCAGTTTTGTGGTAGTTGAGCTCTCGCCTGATTTGGGTACAGGTGCGGTTCCAGTAGTTCCGACACAGTGCCGCTTGGTTTCGGAAGTTGAACTGTAGAGGAATTAAGTTTAGTGTTAAGTTAATTTTAGTGACAATTATGTTGTGTTATTCAAAAAATGTAGCACAAAAAAGCTGCCACTTAGAATCAAAGTTTTTAAAACAGTGGCGTCTGTTTTTACATCCACCATTAGGGATCTTCGTCCCCTGAGGCAAAATATTTAGATAATTCTCTCAACTTAGGTCAGAAAATTTTAATTTGAGTTTACAACAGAAAACATTTTTGAGTCTATAAAGTACAATGTTTCAGGATGTGATCACATTGCCTATGTATTTCTTCTCTTACTGACATTCTATTTCACACAAGAGAGAAAATACAGAAGAGAGAAATTAAATACCTCTTAGGTTAATGATTTGTAAATGAGAAATATGTGCTAACTTACTTTAAATCATTTGGACCACTGGAGTCAACATCCATTTCAACATCTTCAGCGCTACGTTTTCCAGAGGTTGAATTTTCTACTTTATCGTTAGATTTGTTTAATCTGGAGAATATCTTTTTACATTCCTGTAAAAAAAATGGATCAAGATGTTGAGTTTTATGGCAAAGCTGAGAGTTTGCATACTTCAAACTAACTCTTAGTTCAGACACTTTATCTGATTTTAGATGACATGCACAGTACTGAGGCAACTAGAATGAAAGTAAACAAGTTTTTACCAATGGGCAGCAATCAAATTCGGTCATAAAAGGGATTTGGCGCTGGCTAAATTACAAGATTTACTGATATGATGTTCCTCATGATTTCCAGAGTTGAATGAGCTTTTGAAATTAAACTTTCGAGGTGTAAATCTTAAGAGGATCCGGTCTAGACAAGCAGTTTCTGGCAATTTAACATGCACTATCAAGTGGAAAAATGTAAGTGACTGAGAGGCAAGCACAAGCTCCTATTTCTGTACCTCGTGCCGACCGGTCCGGCTCGGTTTCAACTCAGTTAAACAAAAAAGGCTCAACATCTTTGACTCAAAGGCCAATTCTCTGTATGATAATACTTGATGAATTGCGAAAAAATGGACTAATCAGAGTCAATTTTTTTAAAATTGACACATAGAAAATTCGATTCCAAAAGCTTACATTACCCAGGAGATCATAAAAAATATCATATTAAAAAATCTCGAAATTTAGCTGATTCTATAGTATTCTGAACGTAGTCATTTTTCAAGGTTTAAGTCTACAAGGTTTTTGTCTGAGACGAAAAAAACAAACAACTTAAGGGATGGTGTAAAATTTTTTGCTCTTGCTCTTCCTCATTCGATGAATTAGTCAAATTCACTTCATGACATAACTTGATGCGTTAAAAAGTTGTCCTATAAGAACTCTATGAAATTTTAAAATAATGGCTCTTTACTGCAGATCTTGTTGCTTTGAGTTCATGTTTTTTCTGACTATCTCAGGGACGCACCTTAATTTCAAAACTTTAATGATCACATACACTATACATGTATACAATACAGTGATGACAAGACGACTTACTTCATCGGCCCACGAATTGAGACATGGAATTGAGACACAGTACATTGGTCTCCTTTCCCCATTCACTCGCTTGACAGAGTCAAATACAACCTCTTCATCATCCTGTAAAAGTTTTAAGACAGTTTAAATTAGAAAACAGTGAGCAAAAGACCCTAATAAAAATTTTGAGAATCCTCAATTTATTAAAAAGCCTTGTTTTAATTTAGATTTACCAGGAAAAAGAGTGTAATAAGCACTTTTTTTAGTTTTTCCATCAAACAAAAACAAACCAAGCGCTGTAAAATTTCAAATTGTTTTAGTATATCGAAGAAAAAACATCAAGAAATAATGATGATTTGTTCTTATGAGAAAAAAGGAAATAGGAGCAGAGATTTTCAAACAACACAAATGAGATATGCCGTTTGGGTGTTTCACCGTCTATTTCATTTTAAAAGAGGAAGAGTTGCCAATTTCCTGGATAGCGACACTGAAATAGCTTTCCTACTTTCAAGTAAGAAACCACAGCAGCAATGGATCATGAACATCAACAAGAACAAGTTTGTTGATATTCTACTCACGGTGCAGAGCAGAGAATCTTGAAATTTTCCAGACCGAACGGATGATTCTGATGAGTTCACATTGACAACTTCATACTGCTGCATATAGTAAACTGGACTGAACATATCTTGAATCATTCCTCGAAAGCGTACAAGCTGTTTGTTTACCAATAGGTTATCAGGCATGTAGTTTACAACAGGTATCTGATAGACAGAAAAAAAGAGATTAATTCCAAGCGCAGGGGAACTGACGATGAAACGGTCAGGGTAACAGGAACTTAATTGCATAGAAATGTTGCAAAGTTTCATCTGACAACTTATGAACTTTGACACAACAATAACATCCACGACTGGAGGAAACGTCCTTCCTTTCTGCAGCGGGTCAAAAACCCCAGATAATTTGAAGATTTTTATCCTGTGTATTGTTGCCTCAGTTTCTAATCCAATTTTTAATTTTTTGTAAATACTCTTGTTTTTAATTGTATATTCGTTTAGGGTTAAAAAGACGTCAAATTTTATGATTACTCTTTGAATGCAAATATTCCTGCACATTCGATTTTTTGAAAATAGTCTGAGTGAAAATCAATCATAATTGAAACGACTATCAGTATCCAATAATTTTGACAAACAGATGTATTTAGGCAGAATTAATGTAAATTTTTGTTTGGCAGGTTTTCAGTTTTCAGATGAAGACCGTCTCACATCAGCCTAGTTTATTAATTAGTTTTTGCTGTTTGCTAGTTTGACCTGCCGAGGAGAGAAATTTAAAATCAGACCTTGTAATACATTAGAGTGACAGTTCAGAATTTCAATTTTTACCAATGATACTAGAAAGTATTTTGTAAATTATTGATAGGAAGATTAGATAAAATTCAAAATTGCAACTAAAATGAAACCTTCAATTTTCTCACAGATGAACTTGTGCACTTTTGTGATAAGTATGTAATTTAGAGTCCTTTATTCTGAAAACAAAAGACTGCGTGCACATTTAATTTAGGTGAATTTTTACGGACAGTATCTCATGATGAACTAACCTCATCCCAAGCATCCTTCAGGCGACTGAGGCATTCGCTTTCGTTGGCTTCCCAATATTCTGGTGTTGGATTCCAGGGATCCATGATCTGCTTCTATAAGAACATTTGAAAATTTGTAACTGTGAATTTTAGACAAAATTAATTACTTTTGAAAGCAAGCTTAGAAAGCAAAAACAGATGTTCAATTGGGGAGCACTGGTTCCAGTGAGTGCAACTAGGGTTGTAGAATCGTCTTTTAAATTACTAATGAGCATTAACAAGAAATGAATCAAATTAGGGGTGGCCATACTTTCATCACTGATGATTTTTGGTAAAGAGGACTTTAAAATTGGTGAATGCGCATGAATAATATTTGGACTAACATTAGGCGTTTTCTAATTTTCTTTCAGTTTTAGTTTCTTAAAGGAAAAAATCAAACTACATTTAGACTTGAAATTTGGTGATTATTTTCTCTATGTCTAGAAGAAATTTCTAGAGGGTTTCAAGATATTATAGTTTTTAGCTTTCCTGTAAAAGAATATAGGATGAAAGAAGATAAGGCACCATGAAATTGAAACTACCCAATTCTGGTAAAATCGACTGAAATTACATTGTAGTAGAAGAGTCACTTCAGATGCTCACAAATGGATGCCATTCACAATAAAATTTTACGTGGGAACTTTGTCCCTTACAATAGGATCGCAAGGGACGACCGTAGACTAGTCATGCAGGGTGGCAATTTGAATTTCTGTACATCCTTATGAAGGAATGCTGATTCACGACAAACCTCATCCACAGAGCAAACATACAGCAAAAGGAGATACGTTTATTTGACAGAGAGATAAAATGTATATTCCAAGAATTTCAACTGAAGGCTCTTTATCGCTGATGGAACAACAAAGTGAAACAGCACCCAACTCAGACATTCTTGAGACTCTGTAAAGCACATGCACTACTGATGTGATCTACGCTTGCAAGCGAACAGTCCGAAGAATTCTATTATTCCTTCGAGAATAAGTCGATATGTGAGAATCCACTTCGACATCTAGATCTCCCTGCAATTGCCACTGAATAGGATTCTCAAGCCACTTCATTGGCTGTTTTCGAATATTAAATAAATGAAATTCTGCTGATCTGTAGTTACCTTCAAAAAAACAGAGTGGAGCTTCGAAGTTTTTGCGAGAAAGAATAGTGAAGACTGAGGAAGGTAGGAAGGTCCTCGATATATCAACTATCAACACACAAAGTTTTGTAATTTATGGTGAATTGTAGTATTGATACGGATTTAAAAACTTAACAATTGATCCGTGTTAGCACTGTGCCGTAGAATATTGAAATTAAATTCTGAAACTCTGTTCAGATTTCATCAATCTGCTTCCGGTTTCAGCACAATTCAGAATTCAATTCACTGGATTTCAGAATTTTCAGAAACTGAAACATGAGGGAGTGAGGTTAGGTCTTTGTTTACTTGCAAAGCCCGCCAAAAAGGGGGGACTGCGCGGGAAATCGCGAATGTGCCGGTGGCGCGAAATACAAATTGACGGTGAAAGGAGAAACGCGCGACAGAACACAGGAGAATTTCATGAGCCACCCTACGCGCTGCGCCGCCGTCCGCATCGCGCATGGCGCACGACCAGCGCCCTCATAATAACACTTCATCTAGCGTTGAGAGTTCACTAATTACATCACACAACCAGTGTGTAATTTTAAAAATCGAAATTTAAAAAAAAAAAAAAAAAAAAAAAAAAAATTACACGATACACGAGTTTCTCCGCCAGAGGTGTTTTTTTCTCCCGCGGCGCGGCGTGGGGGAGGAAGTTAACATTTTTAAACCACATTTATGTTTGTTCTTTCATAATTTTTTCGTTCTTTTCTTATATAAATGAAAGGCCTTGTCCGCACAGAGATATGTTTACGGGACTTAACTTTCGCGCAAAGTTCCGTGAAATTTTGCTAGTAGTGTTGACAGGGCTTTCGCCAAAAATGTACTCAACACGAGTAGGTACACGCGTCTTATGTACCCCTCCCCCTCCGGCACGTTCTTTTGATGGTTTTTATTGATGTTTCAAAACGAATGAGAAGGGGGCGGAAAAAAACAGGCTGCCCATGGGCGGCAAGTAGGTAAATCCGGCCCTGATTTTATTCGACTTTTTGTCGTTTTGTTTTCTTGAAGATTTGATATTTCAGTTGCAGTCACTTCAAGGGTAGATTCACAGTCTCGAAAACCTAAAAAAAATCGGAGAAACTCTCCCCTGGAAGTGTTCCCTCTGGTTCTTGCCACCTATTCCAAACTTTATTTGGTGTAATCTCAAGTACATTAACCATGCGTTTACACAAAACACTGTACATTTGTCTGAATTATTCCTAGCGAATTACAGAATTTTGATCATTTCCTGGAATCTTTTCTCCGAAATCGCAAGCATAAGTTATTTCTTGGGGGCTCACAGTCATATTTATATTGAAAGTTGAGTCACCCTAGAGAAATTTGTCGAACATTCTGTAACACTCCCCAAATCAGTCAAATGATGAAAATATTATTTTCCCCCGAATTTTAGAGAATAATTTTCTGAGGGAATTGGGAAGAAAACGAGTTGAAAACGAGCTACAGGTTTTAAAATTTCATATAGCCACACAGCACCTATAATATATTATTGATAGCAACAAGTTCTATTGCCTGACGCAAAATTTGTGCCTCGAAAAGTTGCGGGGGAGGGGGGAGGGTGTCAAACTAAATGGAGGAGAGCATCTTTAGTCTACAATTCGTTGTGGATTTCATGAGTTTAACTCATGCCAGTTAAAGACGATTTATACATGTCGTTTTAAAATAGCATTGATTAAATTTTCTTCCGCCACAAAGCAGACTTGGAAGCTCCAAGAGTTCATTGACTGTCGATCCTAGAGAGACGAATCAAGCCCGTCGACATGAACATGGATTGAACTTCCATCTGTTACGGGCGCAATGTTGTCGGAATTTCGAATAAATTATCTCGAGAAAAATTTGATCAGTGTCTCTTCAAACTTGGTTGCCAAGAATAAATTAGGTTAGTAATGGACAAACTAACAATAACCAACGAGAGTCATTTAGTGAATCATATTAGTCTAATACACTCGTTGTAACCTACCGCTGGTAAAAATTGGCGATAAGAGCTGCGTTTCAAAATACCATAGGAATTCTTATAGCCGGCTGAAGAAGGCTACAGAAAATCATATAGCTGGCTGTAGAATGCGGAGAAAATCATACGGCCGGGCTATACGAAGCGATAAAAAATTATGCAGCCGGGCTATAGTTCCTATCGCCGGGCTTTACACTTTATCGCCTGGCTGTTGCTTTTTCGCCATCGATTATAAAAGGCTATGAGAAATTGTGTAGAAAGTCGTGTGCTTTGGAAATCATTAAGTTTGATACGGAACCACCTTAATATTTACAAAACACACGTTATATTTTCCTTTAATACATATTTTTTTTCATTAATTAAATGAGAATAATCCATACAGGATGTGCAAACATTTCAAAATCATGAGTTGAATAACGCTGACTCCGCCAGATTAAATATTAAAGCCTAACACAAAGCGGAGCGGCGACGCACTGGCGCCTACAAACCTAACAGGGATACTTCACGCAATGCGCAACGCGTGAAGTATCCCTGTTAGGTTTGTAGGCGCCAATGCGTGTTTCAGGCGTGCGCAGGCTGCCCGCCTGCCACGGCGCACGGTGGATCGAGTCAATGGTACAGGTCGGTCATGGGCGATTCGGGCAAATCGCATTTTTTAAGGGTCAAAAGTGTTCCTCAAGAGTTATATTTTAAGGATCTGACATTGATTTGGAACGAAACATGTTCATTTTTGTGACAGAAGGCATTAAAGAGGGGCTTTGCGTAACTTTTTATTTTAGCGACAAATCGTCCGAGTCTTTCTATTCCATTTAACTTGCTTCTGTTTAAATTAATGCTAATTTCATTGACATATTCTTGTTCTTCAGAGTCTGGAGAACACATTGCACTAGTAATTTTTTGTATTTGGCCCATTTTTTCAATGATTATGTTTGCGCTAATGTGCTCATCTCAAAAAGCGAAAAAAAAAAGTTTAAGTAAACTTTTAACTACCCATCCGCCACCATCCGCCAGAAAAATTTGTAAAGGCATGTTCGTAGGAGTCCTGAGAATACGATCCCGCAAAATTTGGGTGCCACTTTGCGCCACTTTGGCCGTGACGTCACTTTTTCTGTTGCGTTCCGAGATTGTGCGCGAGTCTTATCTCGAAAATCAAGCGACCGGTTAGCTGCCGCGGCACTTAATTAGCTTGCTTCTGTTTAAATTAATGCTGGTTTCATTAATTGATTCTTATTTTCCAGAGTCTAGAGAACACATACCGCTACTAATTTTTTGTGTTCGGCCCATTTTTTCAATGATTATGTTTGCACTAATGTGCTTATATCAAAATGCAGAAAAAAAAGTTAAGGTAAACTTTTAACTACCCATCCGCCACCATCCGCCAGAAAAATTTGTACAGGCATGTTCGTAGGAGTCCTGAGAATACGATCCCACAAAATTTGTGTGCCACTTTGCGCCACTTTGGCCGTGACGTCACTTTTTCTGTTGCATTCCGAGATTGCGCGCGAGCTTTATCTCGAAAACCAAGCGACCAGTGAACTCTCGTAACTGCTAAATGACCCAGGTAGGTATGATTCCTGTTCATCGGAAACTGAAAAACAAGTTTCACCATCAAGGAGACGTGCTCTGTGGCCCGTTTTTCGTATTTTCATTATTTCCTAAACTACATATCTATAGGAGAACTAAAAAAAAAAAATCGGGCATATTTTCACTCGGACATCCCTTCATATCCCTTATAGAAAGCTTTTTTGGGACGTATGCGTAGATAGCTTGAGGAAACTTTTAGCAAGTAACCCCCCCCCCCTTTACTTGCCTGGCCCCTGACTATGATGCCATTTTATCTGTTGGCCTCCGCGATCGCGCGCGACCGGTCACTGGTGAACTCTGATAACTGATGCTTCTTTCAAATATGTACATATTTTTTAATTTTTCACCCATTTCGATGTGAACAAAGTGCAGTTTGTGCGAAACTAATTACACTGCGAGTACGTTTTAACGTTACAAGTCCGGGAAATTGTGGAATTTTTGCCTGGCCCCTGACTATGATGCCATTTTATCTGTTGGCCTCCGCGATCGCGCGCGACCGGTCACTGGTGAACTCTGATAACTGATGCTTCTTTCAAATATGTACATATTTTTTAATTTTTCACCCATTTCGATGTGAACAAAGTGCAGTTTGTGCGAAACTAATTACACTGCGAGTACGTTTTAACGTTACAAGTCCGGGAAATTGTGGAATTTTTGCGGTTTTTTGCGTTGCTTGTTTTTTAAGTTTGATGCGGTTTGAGAGCGGAAGACGAGGATGAGAGTGATGGGGAACTGAATATGAAGAAGAAGAATAAGGAGAATCAGATGAAAGATGACTGTTACATGCATGTTTAAATTTCTTTTCTTTTCTTTTTTTTTCTAGCCATCTAGTGTTTTTTCTACTCTAAGTCCCTGTTCCGTCCTTTGAATGTGAATATGAATTTAAAGTAAAAGTTATCTTGAATATGTTCAAAGAATTCATAAATGTATTTCATTTGTTTTCTCACCGATCTTTATGCATAAGAATGATATCTTATGACAAAGTTTCGAAATTAACTTTGCAGTGAATGGAATGATTTATCTAATGCAGCAGCTCATAACTGGGGAGGTATTTTTGCGTATTTGTGACACTTATTAGTAAGTTTTCATAATTTTATTCATAATTTATCCTCTTCCATCATGAAAAATTAAAAACTCCGTCCTACGAAGTAAAACACAGACGCCTAAACTTTGCACCTGTATAGTTTTCCCGACATAATGCACAAATACGGGTCTTCAGGTACGTTGTTCACCAAAAATAACATCAAAAATGAATTCTACGCGAAAAATTACATGAGATTGGTGGTACATAATCGATCAAATGACCAGGAATATTCGTTATCCTCGTGACATTGGAAGCGCAACGCTCCATGACCGACCTCTCCCATTGACTCGATCCATCGTGCGGCGCTTGAAGCAACTATTTCACACCAGAGGTATTGCACAGCATCATACGAAACTGAAGGCGCTCTAATATATTAGTAATGGCAGGCATCCATCAAAAGTACGGAGCTTTCCTCGCAAAATAAATTAAGATACTGCGGCCCAAAAGAAGAGAGCAGTATTCCAAAAACTCACTAAGTCCTAGCATCCGTAATTAGTAACGTTTAGCATACACTTTATCGCCTGGCTGTTGCTTAATCGTCATCGGCTATAAAAGGCTATAAGAAATTGTGGAGCCGACTATAGAAGGTATTGGAAATCTTACAGCCGGCCGTAGGTCTATGGTATTTTGGAACACAGATTCTACTGCCAATTTTTACCAGGGTATTGAAATCAGTTGTAAAAAGGTAACATTCCTTTTGATTCTATTGATGATTTCGGATGATTATTTTCCGCAATCGATCGATCTATAGACTGAAATTTTGATGTTCCCGGAACAACCCACCTAATGCTTAAAAATTGAAATATATATTGATCGTACCCAAAATGCATTGCCGCGAAAGCTGAAGTTCCACTGTAAGGGACCGTTCTTCTTCGAGGATGGACTGAATGTAAATAAAAGAAAATTGGCACAATCTTGCATCCTCGCAAGCGATTCCAGGTCGAAGCACGGGATCGCGTCTCTAATTAGCTTCCGTATTTATTTTGCCGCGAAAGCAGCTGTTTTGAGTAATTAACACCTAGGATTTTCTTCAATGATGAGTGTCAGTACGGGTGTATTTAAGTAGGTACTTAAATCTCCATTGACTCTGTAGTTTAATCTCAATCGATCGGCAGGGATCACACGAAGAAGGTTGAGAACTTTTAATTTTCATTTGACTAGTTTCAGAACAAGTTTGTGTAAATTTAAAATTTATATTAAGACTTTTCCGTTCGAGGACGAGTCAGGAATCATATTCAAGTTTCGCACAACAAACATCGGCAGAATGAAGGCAGCCCTGTCTTTCCTCGTGAGTGACATTTTTCTGTTTATTTGTACTTTTTACACCAATTTTGCACATGATTCAATTAAAGATGGAAAACGGAAAAAATCAATGTGAAGTAGAACTGACGTTTTCTTCAAGGAAGCTGCACTTCCCTAGAGATATTTTGAATATTTTGAAAAGTGAATTATTATTTTTCATACTATTTAATTGTAAATCATCAAGCATGGATATTTGATTAGAAGAACACATGATTCCATCAAATCCGTCGGATTGAGTTTAATACAATTTCAGGCAGTGATTTATGGACTACTCAAGACATAAAACGTCGAATTAATTTTGAAAAATGAATTATTATTTTTCATACTATTTAAGTGTAAATCATCAAGCATGGATATTTGATTAGAAGAACAAATGATTCCATCAAAGCCGTCAGGTTGAGTTGAATACAATTTCAGGCAGTGTTTATGGACTTCTCAAGACATAAAACGTCGGATTGAGGATTTTATATTTATAGACGCTTTCTGGCCAACCATGAAAATTGAAGGAAAAATATCAACGTGAATTAGCAACTTTAGTACCTTCTTCCCATCAATGCTGCTTCCTATATATTTTCGGTGAGGAAATGGCACTGATGAGCGAGCGTAGCTGCATCAATGATGCTAGTTTACATTAAGTTAACAGAGGTGGATCCAGAGTGTGTTGGAGGGGGAGGAAGGAGGTTGCCTTTGAGAGCCACCGCTAAAGCCGGGCCATGCTCACAGTCAACAATTTGAAATTTCTATTTTAAGACTTACTGTTAAATGCTGTCCGCAAGGATCGGGTATAGTGCATTTACCATTATAATGCCAATTTTTACAGAGAATTTTTATTTCTACACGAGAAAATAATGATTTTGTCCGAGATTAGCAAGAAAATCAAAATTTCAATGAACGTAAGAATATTTCACTGATAGCCTGATCATTTGACGAAATACCTGATTTGACTTGTTGTCTGCTGTAGATCTATCATTTCTTAATGTAGAATTGAAGTTTTTAGGGCCGCTTTTATTAATGGAAACCACCTTGTAACTTTTTTTTTTCTTGCAGAACTTTTATATGGGATGAAAAACTGCAAAATCGTATTCACTTGGATGAATTTTATTTCCGACTGCACTGGAAAAAAACACATTAGATCTAGAGTCCAGACTCTTGAAAACATTGACAAGAAAAAGGACTCTTGATTCAATCAGATTTAAGCTTAAATTAAAAGGAAATTCGCTCAAATTAAGAGGCTTGGTTTTTGATTTAAGCTTAAATCTGATTGAATCAAGAGTATTTTTTCTTGTCTATGTTTTTAAGAGTCTGGACTCTGGATCCAATGTGTTTTTTTTCCAGTGTGTTTGCCTGAGCGTTTGACAAAATGCCCGATTTGGCTTATTACCTGGGGCAGAGCTATCATTTCTTTGGGAGCCGCTTCATTACAATAAATTGAAACCACGTTGCAACTATTTTTTAAAAAAAAATTAATTTTTTTAAAGAATTAATCTGTATAAATTATAATTTTCAGACTTTTTCCCTGATCTGCACTTTGATCTATGGGCTTCCAACCCCAGAAGACGATACACTCGACTCATTCAACGTCGACGACGAATGTGCGGACGGAGGCAACGAAGCGACAAAAGAGGCTTGTAACGGCAAACTCATCTCCAAAGATGAACTTTCAAGCTCTATCAAAAGTAACCTTAACAAGATTGGCGTCACGGTGAGTAACTTTCTCGGACTTAATCTTAAAATCTGCCCTGTCCAGAGAGAGCATGGTGCGTCGGAAAATGGGCGCCATATTTTAGTTCTATTAGGGTGATTTGTGAAGCTCTCTGACGTTGTCGAACTGGCGTTCGATAGGCGATATGGCATCGATTAGGTCTAAAATCTCGGCAGATTTTGAATTTTCAACCCTAAAAGGACGATAGCCCTATGCATGAGCCTAAAGAATCATTCTAAATCGAAAAATTGGCAAAATTCAGAGAACAGAAAGCAGAATATTGTTTGGAAAATTCTCGCATTCGATACAGTTTTCTATTTCTGTATCAAATGCGAGCTTGTTTTCCAAACAGGATTGAAGTGCGATGATTTATCATGATTCGCCCAACCTTGCTGTTTCCATTCCCTAACTCTTCCTTTTAAATTTTCAGGATTTCGACCCTAGCCATAAGGGAGAAGGTATTAGAGAAACTACAAAAAAATTTCTTAACAAAGCTGGAGATAATTTGAAGAAAATGTTTGATGCGATACTTTAATAAAAATAACCTTAACTTATGTACATATATATAATTTTTTTAATAAACAAAATATTTGACCGTGCTTTTGATAACTCATTTCTTAAAATTGAAAAATCAAGCCAGAAACTGTATCTATTCTAGAACGGCCTTTTGGTATTTTTGCCACTACTTTGCTGTTTTTCACCCATTTATTTTATAATCTCCTCAGTTTAAACTGTTGGATTCACCAAAACTTAATTCAGAATTTGTGTGTTCCTTGCTTTTGCGTTGAGATTTACGTTGAAATGTCCACCATTCTATAGAATATTCAACAACTATAGGTACATACAGAACAGAGTGCTGTGACAAGAGAATCCCCGAAGAATGTGTGGTCATCTTACACTATTAAGACGCTGAAAAAAGTAGTGAAGGTGGTCTTATAATGACGTGATACGTATCTCACATTTTAACCAAAACTGTTTTGGGGAGCGATTTTGGTCAATTTAATTAATTTTACGGCCTTTTTCTTTTGGTTGAAGTTTCGCCTGTCCCCTGCACAGATTTGAGCTTCTCTCAACATTAAATCAAAAGGAGCTATATACCTAAATTCCGACATGAGCCCTAGAATACATGGTAGGTTGGTTGGTAGATACGTTTATTTGGTGCTTTTAAACATGCGTGACAGGGCTCATATCACAATGTTTGTAGTTCCTTTTATTCAAATGCGTCCAAGGGTAAGAGAGGATTTGTCATATTTGTGAAATGGAAAGAAAAATGTAGATGCTAAATTGGTCTCCTCTTATAATAGACCCCTCTCACCTCGCTGCACTGGAGACATAAAACATCGCTCAGAGCGTCACTGCGCCTTCGTTATTAAATACATGCAACACGCACATCCGTCGCGTGGTCTAACAACTGCCACACACGTAGCCGTAGCTTTGTATGGAAGGTGAAATTCCTCGAAATTTCGCGGAGGACTCACGTACTACATCGAAATCGAAATTTTATTTTACTTCATCGGCTAATATTTCCATCAGTATTTCTTAAAACTAAGCACGGCATCATCAAAACGACGTCAATAAAAAAAGTAGCTTATTTTGTAACTTTTCTCACAACTTTTAAATATTCATATTAAATCTTGAAAGTTAACAGAGGCTGAATTTTAACTCGAGCTCAATATTTACTATCACAGTGCAATTTGAACAATTTTAAATGTATAAATATCCCACTTTCTAGTTAAGTTTCCTAAGTATTACAGTTTGGAGTAACTTTAATCTAAATACATTCCAGAAAGGCTATAGGTTAAAATTAAGCTCACCTGTCAAGTGAACCCTGGTAAAAATTGGCGATACGAGCTGCGTTTCAAAATACCATAGGAGTTCTTATAGCCGACTAAAGAGGGCTATTGAAAATCATATAGCTGGCTGTAGGAAATCATATAGCCGGGCTATACGAAGCTATAAAAAAGTATACAGTCAGGCTATAGTTCCTATCGCCGGGCTTTACACTTTATCACCATTGGCTATAAAAGGCTATAAGAAATTGTGTAGAAATTCGTGTGCTTTGGAAATCATTAAGTTTGATACGGAACTACCTTAATATTTACAAAACACACATTATATTTTCCTTTAAAACATATTTTTCTTTCATCAATTAAAATGAGAATAGTCCATACAGAGTGTGCAAACATTTCAAAATCATGAGTTGAAAAACGCTGACTCCGCGAGATTAAATATTAGAGCCTAACACAAAGCGGAGCGGCGACGCACGGGCGCCTACAAACCTAACAGGGATACTTCACGCATTGCGCAATGCGTGAAGTATCCCTGTTAGGTTTGTAGGCGCCAATGCGCGTTTCGCACTCTCTGCCCGCCCGCCGCGCGCCGCGCCGCAGCGTGCCACGGCGTCTGAAGCAACTATTTCACACCAGATGTATTGCACAATATCATAAGAAATTGAAGGCGCTCCAACATATTAAGAATGATAGGCATCCTTCAAAAGTACGGAGTTTTCATCGTAAAATAAATCAAGATACTACAGCACAAAAAGAGAGCGGTAGTCCAAAAACTAACCAAGTCCTAGCATCCGTATTTAGTAACGTTTAGCATAAACTTTATCGTCTGGTTGTTGCTTAATCGCCATCGGCTATAAAAGGCTATAAGAAATTGTACAGCCGGCTACAGAGGCTATTGGAAATCTTACAGCCGGCTTTAGGTCTATGGTATTTTGGAACACAGATTCTACTACCAATTTTTGCCAGGGAATTTTGAAAATTTTACGAGATTTTACAAATCATTATTAGATTTCGTAATAATCTGCGGGCATAACGGGAACGAGGAAAATTTTTTTGAGGGTGGGGCGGAAGGGCATATCATCCAGTGGGATTTTGCGAGCACGAAACACGTCCGGGGAGTCTCTTCCGGAAAATTTGGAAAAACTGAGTCGTCTATACGGCGTTTTTTGAGCTGTTCTCGTTGAAAAATTGATCCAATTACATTTTCCAAAATGAAAATATGTCTCGAATGTACGTAGCCAAGTTCCGCACATTTCTTGGGAGCAGCCAAGTCAATTTCTGAGGGGGGGCGGGCCCCCTGGCCCCTTAGTTCCGCCTCTGTTGGAAACGGAAACTATCGGATGAATTTCCTGACATTAGTCTATAATAGCCACACATTTCAATCAATAAAGTCGCTCTATTTTTCCTGCGCTTTCTTTGTCGGTCACTTTGTCTATAGATTTCAACAACCAGCCTGCTAGTGACCCGCAAAAATTACTTTTTATCTTAGCAGTTTTTTTGACCAAGAACGTCATTTCCGAGTTAACCAAACCTGCCCAGCGGGATGTTTATTGAAGTTGATAGGAAAATCTATTGACAAAGAAGACCAAGGGAAAATCCTTTAGGTTGAACAGGTGAATGTTACAGATTTAGGAGAAGATGATGGACTTACTGTAGGGTCTCTCCAGAGCTGCTGTTAGCTGGACCGCGTTGAGCAGAGAGGAACCAAGCCACATCAGCTATTGCCAAATTTAATTGGGCAATTTAATCTTTCGTACATGAAAACGGGTGTGCGGATTTATTTTTTGCAAATTTCGGTAAATTTTCTGCATATGTGAGAGGCAAATTCCTTGAAATTTTCAAAAGATTCTGCACCAACGTTCTCTTGTAATAAATGAAATTGCTCTTTTAAATTTGGCAATAGCTGATGTAGCTTACTCCATCTCTACTAAACGCGCCGTCTAGTTAGTCTATTACTCACCTCCCTTGTCCATTCCAGCCACCCGTCTCCACCGATAGGATCGCTCCATTTTCCCTTCGTCTAAAACTATGTCTATAGCTTTGTCGACAGCTTTGTCTATCGCTTTATCTATAGATTTCAATAATCAGTCCGCCGGATGAAATTTGGTGCATTTGCAGGGTATGGAAAAACCCAAGGACAAGGAGACAGAGAAAGAGAAGGACAAGCAGGAGACAGAGAAGGACAAGCAGGAGACAGAGAAGGAGAAGGACAAGCCGAAGCTGGAGAGACGTACCCACGGGAAGGACGATAGCAAGAGCAAGGACATCGACGAGACGATCCGCGTGCTGAAGGACCTGAAGAACGAGGTGAAGGCGGCCTACATCGGGACGGTGAAGCTGAGCAAGAAGCTGGACGAGCGGATCAAGCCGGAGCAAGCCGAGATGCTGGCCATCTACCTGCGGCAGCTGAAGATCGCCACGGACTACAGCGTCGAGAAGATCGACGACTGCGTCCGGAAGCTCCGCGACGAGAAGAAGGGAGACCGCGAGCGCATGGGCTACTCCAGCGGCGGAGGCGTTTCGGACACCGTCGCACCAGCCCTCGTCAACGTCTTCAACCAGTACGACAGCGTCTACGAGTTCGTGTCCGACTTGCAGTAGGCTATCACATGAGCTGCAGCGGGATCATTATTGAAACGTATAGACAAAGCGATAGACGAAGAAGACATAGGGAGTAGGGGGCGATCCTATTGGCTAAAGTGGGTGGTTCCTATGCACTAAGGGAGAGAACGATGAACTACAGGGTTCCTCGAGGGTTGCCGTCCCCAGTAAAAGTGAGTCAGCGTGACGTCAGGCTATGTTTCATAAACTACCCTGAGTCAGACTGATGTCAGCCTGAATCAGTCAGACTCAGGGTAGTTTATGAAACATAGCCTGACGTCATGCTGACTCACTTTTACTAGGGTAGTCTGTTACTTACCTCCTTTGTCCATTGCAACTACCTGCTTCCACCTATAGGATCCCTCCTTATACCGCTTGTCTTCTATGTCTATCTCTTTGTCTATCAATTGGACGTATTTCTGTCAAACGGAACTAAGCGCCATAGGGGGAGGAAAGTAGAGGGGGGCTTTGATTGGCGGCGGAACCGGGCGTCGGGCTCATTCCGTCCTATACTCGCAATGCTATTCCATGGCGCTTAGTTTCGTTTGACAGAAGCACTATCCGGCATTCTAAATTCCTTAAAAGGAACTCAAATTGGCGCTTAGTTCCGTTTGACAGAAACGTCCAATTTCAACAATTGGTCCGCAGGCCCCATATGATTTACATTCCGATTAAGAAAGGTTTAAGGAGAACCCTAACCATGGGCGCGGAACTAGTGTGAGGCTGGGGGGAGGGGGGGGGAGGCGAGTGGATTTCTGGAAATAGGTACAGGGGCGCTTGCCCTCTAAACAGTTTTGAGGTCATTAACTCGAAAGCAGTTAGAAAGAGCCTTTTGAAAGGATTTGTGGATTTTCTTAGTAATTTAAGTTTGATTTTTGTAATTTTGTGTTTTTACTTTTATACCGAATAAAATTTGTTTAGAATAATAAAACTGGTATCGGCTTTTTACTGATGCTTGGAAAAGTTCGTAATGAAAAGCGTACATTAGAAGTATAAAAATAATTTTTATTTTGTACCAGGAGATCATTGTACTTAGGTTTCGTGCCAGGAACCATCATTAGAAGAACATACCTACAAATTTTTAGACTTTCATAATACTTAAAAACATAGGACTTTTTCAGTTTTTACAAAAAAGTGGATCACAAATTATTTACAAATATATATCACAAGAATATAAAAATGCTACCGCCCTCCATCATAATAGAGTGGATAGCTTTCAAAAATATATAGCTTATGTTCAAGCGTGCTTAAAGAAAAGGAAATAGAGAGATATATTTGTTTTAGGTTAGTCTTGAGTCTTGCGAAAAATCATTTTCTAATTTATAGTGGAATTTTGCGAATTCCAAGAGTTTAGCGGGTTGATTATTAAGATTGATAGACAAAGCGATGGATAAAGAAGGCAGGGGGAAAACGGAACGATCTTATCGGTGGAGGCGTATGGTTGCAATAGACAAAGAAAGAATGCAATACGACGATGAACCTCTCAAATCACGTAACTCGGTTTGTGACGATGCATACTTCCTGTCATCCTTAATTCTTTAAATGGAGAACCGCTCAACGTCAATTCTTAAAAACTTCCGTGATTTCTCTATGCGAAAAAAATTCTAGGACATTTTCAAGAATTGATGTTGTTTTGTTCTCCTTAAAAAAATAGGATTGTAGATTTTAAAACACCGTACACGAGATACGTGGTTTGGGAGTTTCACCGTCAAATAGACTAACTGACGGCAATCCACGAGCAAAGGCGGATCCAGCAATTTGGCAGCACCGAATTCCTCCATTTAAACCTATGCTAAATAATCGATTCTTGTCGGAGCACCTGGCCCCTCCAAAAATCGATACATTTTCATAGGTTTAAATGGAGGAAATCCGGTGTTGCCAAATTGCAGGATCCGCCAATGCCCACGAGGGAGCCTATAGTCAGTCCATTATTTCGATCCCCTTGGTCTACAACAACCACTCGTTTTAACCAATAGAATCGCTCCTTTCCCCCTTCGTTCTCTATGTCTCTCGTTTTGTCTACCAATTTCAATAATCAGACTGCTGGAACTTTCGGCAGGTGAGTCAGCTTTCGCGAAAACTTAGGAAGAAGGCATTTGAGACTTGTCGTCCCAGATCACGTTTCGACCTCGGACCCACTGTTCCTGAGACAAGGGCTCTTGGCAGCTTTGGTGGGATGAACTTTGATCTCTGGGGCGAACGTGCGGGTCTACTTCTTCTTGTAGCTGAGCAACGTGTTCTTGATGATGTTGACGCAGTCGTTGAGCTGCTGTTCGTTGATGTTCAACGGGGGTGCAAGTCTGATGATGTCGCCGTGGGTCGGCTTGGCCAAGAGACCGTTCTCTTTCAACTTCAGACACACATCCCATGCATCGATACCTGTAAGGGGAAGAGGAAAAATTGGTGACATTGCACGAAAAAAAAAATGGAGAAACTGGACTAGTACGGACCAAAAAAAATATCGGGATGAATGGACCACTAGACAAGGTACGAATTTAAGCAATCTGATACATGTTTCTTAACCAGAATTTCACGTAAAACACGATTCACACAACGAAAATTACGGAAACCAACTCCTAACGAAGATATTAACGTTTTTATTTCACATTGGTTACGAGGAATTTGAACTGCCCGCTCACAAGAAACTCAAAATTCTACGTGAGTCAAATCGCGCACAACAACGGTTTCAGCAAGCTTCTCAATCGAGCAATGTTCATTTCCCACCATGTGTTGTTCAAACTATAAGCAATTTGCTATAGCTGAGCCAAAGCGTCAAGATCGAGGTTGCCAGATTTTTATATCGCAGAGACTGTCATGATAACGTTTAGCGCGCGATGTGAATCATGCAGAGCATTGAGTTTCCATGAGCGGATGGTTTGAATTCACGCAACAAGAATCATTAAATATCTTCGGAAGGAGTTGATTTTGGTAATTTTCGTGGTGCGCATCGTGTTCTACGTGAAATTTTGGTCAAGAAACATTAACCAGAATGTTGAAATTCGTACTTTGTCTAGTGGTCCATTGGACCGCGTTAAACAGAAAGGAACCAAGCCACATCAGCTATTGTCAAATTTAACATGAAAATTGTATTTTTTCCGAGAGAACGTTTGTGCGGATTCCTATGAAAATAAGGAATTTGCTTTGTGTCATGGAGAAAATTCACTGAAATTTGCACAAAAATCCACACGACCGTTTTCATGTAAAAAATTAAATTGCCCGATTAAATTTGGCAATAGCTGATGCGGCTTGGTTCCTTTCTGTTTAACGCGGTCCAATCAGCAATACTTTTACATCATTTGGCCAACAAATGTCAAATTTTAACAACCAGAGAGGTACGCAATTTTCAATGCGAAGACAAACAGCAACGTATTGCAATTTTATTGCAATACGATAGGCCCCTTCAATTTGTAGATAGGCAACATACGCAACATTTCAATGCGGTGAAAATGATATTGCTGTGTGAAGGATCACTAGAACAAAATTGCGAGAAAAGGCAACCTCTTTGCCATGAAATTGTAACATTTTTACGACATTTCGTCAATGAATGCCGATTTTGACGATCAGTGAGATGAGCTTTGCGCAATTTGCAATGTAGAGAAAAACTTTGAACTCTAAACAGTTGCGAAATTACAACGTATTTCAATTTCATTGCAATGCATTTCAGTGAGGGGCGCCCCTTCAATAATTAGATAGGCAACACACAAAACACTCCGATGAGGTAGCAATAACTGGACCGCATTTAGAATAATGGAACCAATTCCATATCAGACATTGCCAAATTCAACTGGACAGTTTCATTTTTCACAAGAGAAGGTTCGTGCGGATTCCTTTGAAAATTCAAAGGAATTTGCATGCAGAAAATTCACTGAGATTTGCAGACAATGAGATTTGTTTTTATGTAAAAAATTAAATTGCTCAGTTAAATTTGGCAACAGCTGATGTGGCTTGCTTCCTTTCTGCTTAACGCGGTCCAATTTTACCATGTAATCGCAATTTATCGGAATCTTGGGTGGTGGGGGCCAGTGGCGAGGCGTGAATGATCGATTATCGATATTTCCCCATTTGAGCTGTGGTAAAGAATCGATTATTAGGGTGTTCGCTACGAACACCTTAATAATCGATCTTTTTCCATGGGTTTAAATGGTAAATCAGTCGATATATCGCAGAGCACGCCACGCCACTGGTGGGCGCTTGTACTTACTTTCATGAATGACGATGGCGTTCATCAAGCCTTTGCCCCTAACGGTGACGACCAAGTCCTTGGGGATGGTGTTCAAGCCGGCCCTGAGGACTTGTCCCATTTTCTCGGCGTTCTCGGCCAACTTCTCCGAGAGCAGGACGTCGATGGCCGCCATGCCTACCCTGCAGGCCAGAGGGTTCCCGCCGTAGGTCGAACCGTGCTCCCCAGGCTGGATGCACAACATCACGTCGTCGTTCGCCAACACGGCTGAGACCTAAAAAAAAAAGCGCGGGAAACCACGTTAGTTCGTCCGCTTACATCTATTATGCTAATGGAAAGGAAGATGACGTCACAGAGTGAATCTATACAGTTCTTAATAAGGCCAAAATGGACAAAATTACAAAATTTGAATCGGCCAACGTAAATCTAACGATAGTTATCGTGAACGAAAGAATTAACGACACAGGTTGGGTAACTATTATAGGTGGGGTGGAACGAAAGATGACGTCACAGTGCGAAAATTTAGGTTTTTACCTATAATGTCTCATACCAGAGGGAAATTGCAAGACAAATACTGTGAACTCACAATCAGCTCATTACTTTATCATTATAAGAACGATGTAAATTTCTATTTTATTAAAACTTTTAAAAACTTTTGAAACATTTTTTTAAAGAAAAACTACGACGATTTTTTAACAATTGACGTGCACGTTAGTGCTTTTTATTTTAAATAAAATTTAAAAAATATGTGTTTAAAAAAAGCACAATCGCAGCACAATTCAAAATCAGCTCAATATATTTTATCATTGAAAGCAGTTTGAATTTCTATTTTATTAAAACTTTCGAAAAAACGTTAAACATTTTTTAAAGAAAAACGATGACAATTTTTTAACGATTCACGTGCACGTGAGTGGTTTTTTTTTTTTTTTTTTTTTTTTTTTTTTTTTTTTAAAAAAAGCACGGTTTTTTTTTTTTTTTTTTTTTTTTTTTTTTTTTTTTTTAAAAAAAATTAAATTGTTTTAAAAGTGTTGAGAGAGGTTTGTGTGCGGGTTCCTGGTAGTTTAATTCATTTATTACATTATTCATTGATATATTCAATATAATTTTCCCATACATATTGACAACACTACGTTGAAAAAAATCAAGCAGAACGATGAGCTTTTGAATTTCAGCTATTCTAATAACCATTGTAAATTGGACTATACATTATGTAATAAGAAACTAATTTCTCTGACTCATTCACAAAAGCACCAATCTACTCAAAGAAACTGATGATACCAACGTTATTTGAAAAAATGAGTCAGATATAGTAGTCCCTCAATGCAAAATTTTGTCCAGTTCTTTCCTCGAAACGTTCCGAGTGAAATCAGACCTCCAGCGGTTTCAATTTTTTTCAGTTTAGAACAGCCGGCGCGACCGATTGGATGACGGTTTTTTGCGTAATGGCTAAAATCATAAATTCACCTGTGGGCTTCTTTTTCTTACTCTTTCTGATAAAGAATGAGGAGGGGGGGGGCAACCGAGGCTCCCTTGTCTCACTCGAGGAGCAGATGAATGAGCAGACCTTGGATTAGTATAATTAAGTAACCAGTTGCACCTGCCGATCTATTTCGGGACTCACAGCAGTCGCGCATGCGTGCATCTGCCGTTTGAATGACTTACTCGGATGACCCCTGTGAGTATATCGCAGTGAAAGTTGGAAATACATACCATAGATCGATTTGCGACATTAGTGCACATTTCTTGTGATGAATTTCTTTGTAAATCATTTCGATTGGTTGATTGATCGATCGAAGTTTTTGATAATCTTAAATCATGTAGGTATGCTGAACATTTTCGATAATAATGCAGCCGATTTCGGCACAATTGGGCTCAGGGCCGGATTAAGGGGGTGGCCACATGGGCCGCGGCCCATGACGGCAAATTTAGGGGGCAGCAAATTTATTTTTTTTAAATTTTTTTAAAAAAAAATCGGATTCAGAAAAAAAATGATCAATGACGAAAGGGGACAAAATCTCTCTTTACTGAGAATATAGTAATTTCTAATTTTGTCGTTTTTCGGTGATACAAGAGACAGCATTTTTAATTAGTCGAGTTAAGATAGGAACTAAACACGCAATTTGGCCAGGAGCTCAGCGCAGAGAGGAATGATGACGAGAACTTGAGATGAAAAGGACAAGCCCTCGACGCGGCGCAGCGGTCGGCATGTAACACATATTAGCGCCTACAAGACTGCATGAATACTTCACCCATTGCGCAAACGCAGTGCGGTCAGGAGCGGTTAGCGTGAAACGCATAGCGCCTACAAGACTGTATGAATACTTCACGCATTGCGCCAAGCGCAGTGCGATCAGCGCGGCGCAGCGGCGGAAGTTAGATTTATTAAACCACATTTATGTTTGTTCTTCCATAATTTTTTTTTTGGTTCATTTCTTATAAATGGAGGACCTTGTCCACACAGAGATAGGTTTACGGAACTTAACTTTCGCGCAAAGTTCCGTGAAATTTTGTTAGTAGTGTCGACAGGGCTTTCGCAAAAAATGTATCCAACACGAGTAGGTAAACGCGTCTTATGCACCCCTCTCCCTCCGGCACGTTCACTTGATGGTTTTTATTGATGTTTCAAAACGAATGAGAAGGGGGCGGCAAAATACAGGCGGCCCATGGGCGACAAGTAGGTAAATCCGGCCCTGATTGGGCTCTTGCATGTGCGAGAGATTTGCGTAAAATTTCGCGAGAATAACGATGGTGCCACTAGTTCTCTCCGAAATCAACTCTAAAACTCGAAAAAAGTCTTCCAAGTTGGGGCCGTAATGGAGGGGATATCCCACGCTACCCTAAGAGTCCACCTCTATATCAAGACAAACTCTCTGTGCAAAAATAGAGAGCAAATAAATTACCAGGGTTGCCATGTTTTCAGTTTTGGAGTCCCCTAACGAAAAGGCAACCTGCTAATGTATTTGCGCCCTATCTTCGCAGAGAGAGTTTGTCTTGATTTGGAGGTGATTCTCGGGATAGCGTGGAATATCCACTTCATTACGGCCTTAACTTTGAGAGCTTGTTTTGAGCTTTGGAGTTGGTCTCAGAAAAAACCAGTGGCACCATCGTGTTTCTCGCGAAATTTTCGAAGGAAGTAGCATTTAAATTGCAAATTCTTGACAAGCAAGAACTCCACTCTTTAGTTCAAACCCAGAAAGTATATAAAAGGACCACGAAGTTTTCAGTCATCAACATTATGTAAATGGTGACGTCATAATTGATAATGTGAGAAGACTCACCGGATAGATCCCTCCTGACAGGGCTTTCCCGAGGATGAGGATATCTGGACGGACATTCTCGTGGTCGACGGCCAAAAGTTTTCCCGTCCTGCAAAGCCCCGTCTGAACTTCATCGGCTATCCATAGAACGTTGTGCTTGTCGCAGAGTTCGCGCACAGACTTGAGGTAACCCGCGTCGGGCACCACGACACCGGCTTCACCTTGAATCGGCTCAACCATGAAGGCACATGTCGTCGGATCCCTGAGCTTTTCCTATCAGAAGAAAAGGCTTGATATTAGAAACGAACACGTTATGTAGGGGCGAACCTACTTCTTTGGGGGGAGGCAAAATAAGGATCGGGGGGTTTCTTTCTGATGAAAGGAGGGAAGGTTCAAGGCTAGGGGGCTCTGAACCCTTTTTGAAAACAGAATACAAAGACTGTCGAAGAAATTTTTCGTTCAATGAATTTGTTTCAGAGCTAGACATACTTTTCGGTGCAAGCGCGACTCCAATTCCTTAAAAAAAGGTTTACGCAACTTCCAGGATCAGGTTGACGATTTCACCGTCCGAGTCTGCACTGCCGTGCTAAGGAAAAACACCGTATAAACATTCGAGAATTGCCACATTTCCTCCAAAAGTTTTTATTTTTAATAAATAATTTCGTTTAAACATTTCATAAAACATGGATCTGATTGCGAATAAAATTTGGGAAAAATTGGATGGAAAATATTCACAGATTTCCCTGCGAATTCGTATATTATCGAAAGAAATTGGGCAAAGTCTAAAGGCTGATACGGCGTTCTTCCTTAGCACCGCAGTGCAGCTGAATAGGCTTTTGATAAGCTTGTCGAATGTAATTGACGATTGATATTTAATGAGACAATAATAATGAGATATTGTATGTAATTGAATGAGGTTTTTAATATTATATTTATCGATGAGAATTTGATAACTCTCGATTCCCCAGTAGCAGTAATCGCAATTTAATCGACGTAGATTTATTGCAATTTTATCGCATAAAAAATTGAGATTAATTGCGATTTCGTCGCATAAAGAGCGACGCCAAAAACGACCGTTTTTTGGCACAATTTGGGCCAGAAGGGATTTTT